GTCCGAAATTTTATTCACCTTTGCAATTAATGGATGAATGCTATAATCGCATTCCCATTATGTATAAGGAAAATATTCGATTTGTCGATCCAATTACGCGACAAACCTTCAGTCGGCAGATCTACAAGACTGCTCCGACAAACATTCAAATCTCTTTCAGCTAGATGTTGATGATGATAAGTCCTGGATTGAATTAACCCCTCAAATTACAAGGGTTACAGGACCATATCTATTTAAACCAAAAGAGATAATTCAAAAGATTAAGCATTCTTTAGCCTCTAGCCAAGGCGCTTCAATCTACACTTATGCTCAAATGCAAAAATTCTGGAATATGATTTCCGATAATTCAGAGATGAAAGGAATACTGCAAAAAGTATCCAGGTCCTTTCTAAATGCTAAAAAAAGTCTTTTCAAGGACTCATACAGCCCACTAGGCTCTTCCCAAACAATATATTTGGACTATCTCATCTCTCCAAACTTTTGGAAAAATGAATACACCCGTATATTCGGGAAAGTACAATACTATTTAGAAAAATGCGGAATAGTCTTCGCCTCTTTTCTATTTGTGAAATTCATACTAGATTGCCTAGTATTCATAATAAAAGCTATGCGTATTCACAAAATCACCGGCCGCTCACTACACTTTGGCAAAGTATTGCTTGCCGCTTCATATAATATACTTTTCACTTCCATGGTGACCTCAATTTTCACTCAAGATGAGCAAACTGAAAAAATAGAACAAGATTGTGATCAAAAAATACAAGCTCCTCTTTTAGAGGAAATTGATAAAATAAACCAGGATCGCATGTATCCTCATATCCAATTAACAAGTTTTGAGAGAAGAACTCCAAACTTGGATCACCCAACAAACCCAGTCTAATAAAAAATTCTACTGTTCTAGGATATACCAACTGATTCAACTATGGACGCAACACTTGATGACGACTTGAGAGATTTTGAGGATCTTCTCTCACTTCCGCCACCAACCGATCCACTGGACTCGCAGGTTTCAGCACTCACTCAACAACCAACTGTTTCTACTACTACAACACCAACTGCAAAGCCGACCTCAACACGATCCTTCGTTGAGCCACTACTTCAAACCAATTCAGCTGTCCCAATAACTACAGCATCACAGCCACCACCCCTAAAAATTTCACCCCCTGATTTTAAAATACCCCTGGTTCCCTCGAATTCCAAAATTTAAAAACGGACCCAGATTGTAAAACCATATAAGATACTAACGGCACATACGCCGGTATCAACTTCTCAATATCCAATGACCATTAGGCGACAGCCCTTGCACCCCACTGAATTAAATACTAAATTACATATTCAGTTAGAAAGGGAACGATACAATAATTCTAACAGTAATCCCGGCTTCGATATGGATCTCAATTATGCTTTGAATCCATTAATCAATCGTTTTAAATTAGAAGCCTATCACCCTATAAAAAAAATGTATTCCATAACTAATTCCCTTCTTGAATATCAAAATATCTATGTCCCAGCAAAATATCTGACAGCAAAATTACAAACCCCCCAGTTAGATGACTATACTGAGCAAATTCAGCGCAGTCATATCCATGAAACGCATCAAATCCGGGAGCTGAAAAAGCAAATCCACAATTTGAAAACAAAAAATCACCAACTTATAGCCCGGTTGGAAGGAAAATTGTAAAAAATTTATCCTTTTATTTAAACAATTATTCTTTCGCTTTATATAGCTATGTAGTATAGCTATTAATTTCCTTTCTCAACAATTTTGACTTTTATAAAAAACAAAAAACACAAAAAATACCCCCTTTGTATGAACCAGCCCTCCCCTTATTACGCGTTTGGACAGACTTCACATACTTCAGGAAGAAAAGGAGACTTCGGAAAAAGAATGTTTAAGGAATAAAACTAACCTTCAAACTTTTGAGAAACAAATAATTTTGATGTATTTTATTTTATAGTTAAATCCCTTGGTTGTGTAAACTCTATTTTGATTTATAAATGTAACTGATGTGTTTATATTCATTCAAGCCTGACTCAAAGTATCAGTTGTTCAAAAACATCTGCTACCTGTAATACCAACAAACTATTGAACCAACTTTATGAGATTGAAAGAAAAAGCTTCGATCGATCAACAATTACCCCACTATTCAAGTGAAAGTAATAAAAATAAAAGTTTCAGTTTTTTTTCCTCTCCAAATAGGAGGATGGATATGTTCTGATTTCAAATAGAAACAGAAACATGAATTATTTTATTGCGTTCACAAAATGTGACGCCGCCGCCACCACCAAAAGAAATATGTTTTTATTCCCTTGCAAAAGGAAGGGAAATGCTATTGGAATAATTCGTATAACGTTTTAAGCATTGAGAATTGAAACGACTATTCTCATTCAAAGCGAATATTAACGATTCCTCTCGTGAAATACGAGCATACGAAACCTTCTTCTCGTAAAATACGAATGTACGAATAGAGAATACGAAGTTAAGAAGTAACTTCTCATTTGATACGAAAAGTGGCGTGATTTCCCCATCTGAGTATAAATAGAAGCTCAAAACTACGGGAATTCATTCCCAACAATATCTCTTCTAACACCAACACCACTCTCTTCTACCACCCCAACCAATCTCTAAAATAATATCTACTCTCAGTAAAAATATCTCTAATCTAACCGTAAAAATAGATATTGAGTCAAAAGGCAACTTGCTGTAAATTCATACTAACTTCTTTTCTAATAAAATATTTCTCAGCGAATTTAAGATTTACTTTCTAAGATAGAAAGTAGAAAGGACCCTTTATTCCTAGCAAGCGTTTTGTCCGACGTAAACAGTTTTTGCTAGCGTAATAATATGAGTTTGATACAAATGGGGGTAAATTGGAAAGATTTTTTGATAGTTTTTTTTGACGTTCATACTTTTTTGACGTTTAGATTTTTGATAGTTTATTGACTTTCAACGCAAGAGTTTTCCAAAAACTTTAGTTTTGTTTTTGCAGAAACCTGAAATAGTTGAGGTAAATGTTTGGTCTCACACTCCTGGGAAAAGTTCTCATTTATATCAATACTTTTTTTCTTTAACTTCCGATATTACGAACTTTTACTCTATATTATTAATAATAAAAAATTGTTTCTAAACGATATTTAGTTACAGAGCTATTTATAAAAATTTACAAATACAAATTGGAATCGTATGGAAAAATACCATTTAGCCAGCACGGCCCGTTTTCAGGTGTCTCATTAACCGGAAAACAAAATATATACATCAAACTCCTGCTGCTATCGCCCTATAAATCAAGCTGCTGCCCTATAAATTTTTCTGTCCTATAAGCCATATTGTGATGCTAACAGAACTCCAGAGGATCTCCTTATGATGCCCAATTTTTGAAATTGCCGAAGATAATTAGAGAAAAAAACTCTCGCAACTGATTAATTGAAATTAAAAATTTTTTTATTATTGCTTAGTTCGAGTATCACTTTATTTTGGAAAAAAGAAAGAAGCAAAGAAAAAAATAGTTCATCCAATAGCACGTTAAAGCAGCGATTGGAATAACAAGACTGCTCCTATCAGGGCAAAACACTGATTGTTCAGACTGCCCCCCCCCCCCCCATTTAATTGGTTTCCAATAGATTTTGTTAAATTAAATATTTGCAAAACTATGAGTTTTAGGATGATAATATCAAAATTTAAGTGTTAAAATTTGAGTCGTGTATAGAATTATTAAGAGCAATTAGTTGCCTCAATTCAATTTGGAACAATTTTGTAGTCCGGGTCAACTCGCAGATTTAAACTATAAAACGAGCAGTTTGATCAGAACCGTGCCAGGTTACTTTAGTGGTGTAGCACCCGGTTGGCCCCATGCTGATCAAGAGATCGATGCCCCAAGAGAGCGATACAATTTGTGAAATTGATCTGAATAAAAAAAACCCACCCCGATAATAAATGTTCCTCCATTTTCTTCGAAAGTTGGAATAAAAAACATAAAGTTAACTTCAAACAACTTTTTAAATCAAAACATTTGATTACATGAAATTGGTTAGGATAGACTAAAGGCGCCTAAGGAAAGTCCACTCAATAGTCGTTTAACGTGAGTAAAGTTCCAAAGAGAAACATGGCCAACAGACAGCTGAAAAGGGTAAAAGAATTCAAGGAACTCATACTTTTCTTGAGAGATCACGCCGTTCTTTCTACTTAAAAACGAAAAATAATAATAAAAAAAGAAACAAATGAAATATGGAGCGCTGATTAGTTTTTTTTGTTAACTTTAATGCAGCCCGAAGCATGCGCACACGCTAATCTATTGACAATTTTGATGCCGAAATCTAATAAGGTTAATTCAGCATAGCAAAAGATAAATGCATAATGAAGATCTGATAAACGCTACAATTTGAAAATTGAATGAATTAGTAGGATCATGTTTTCCACCTTAAGAAGCAAACTTACCGCAAAATCATCCAGCACGCTACCATACTTGCTTTTTTTCTTTTCGTTCGAAACTTTTTTTAGTTCGGGAGCTTGGCACCATAGCGTTGCTTTAATTCATGGTGTACGAAATGGAATACATACAATGATCCAAAGGATATTCGGCAAATACGACGACAGTTTCTAAGACTAAAATTTTTCGGGATTTTTTAATCTCTAAAATTTACATAACGTTTTGATTTTAGGAGCACATGGTTTAAAAGCAAAAAAAATAATAATTCTGAATCAGTTGAACATTACTTCTACTTACTCGAAAGTGAAATGGCGTTTCAATTACTTTGAGTCGATTTTTTTGCAAATTTCACTGTTTTGTCAAAAAAACCTGTTTATAAAATTTTCTTACAATTTCAACAGTTTTGACAATGTTATTTTTATACCTGTGATTTCAATGAAGAAAAATTGTTTTTCAAATGCCTTGTCCTTATTTTGTCCAGTGGTCGTCTTGTTTACCTAACACCGAACCGAACTCTCAAATAAGATGCGATTCCCGTTTAAGTCTCATAGATTTATTCATGCACTTGCTGACCTGGCACGTGAAGTCTAAGTTGTAGAAGGAGGGGAACCCAGTGGAGGTGAAGGTCACTTTGAACATGGCAGACTCCAGGGGACCCAGAGTGCCCTCCAGGGGCCAGATATTCACACACTGAAGCAGATTTACATAGCATTTACACATTTTGAAATGCTTGTGAACATTTGATATATTTGAAAATTCGGAATTATAATTTTATTTTGCTTATCAGCCAATCAGATATCAATTTTGTCAATACGATATTTGAAAACCTACACGAGAGAACACACGCCCAACAAAGCTCAAAATATATATTATTAGAACTGATCAAAAATGTAACAGGGACTGGTTCTTGTAGATCACTGCACTCTTCCTCTGTCTTTGTTAGATTTACTATTAACGTTTCATATATTTTTTTGCTGCTTAATTTGTAGATATATGTTTCTACATTCTATGTTCACAACTTTTTTATGTGTCTGACCTTGCTGTAGGGGTCTGAGTTTGGCTGCCACTGGTACTTGACAGTGTCTGAGTAGGAGGTGTTGGTGAGACAGACTACTCTCCTGCCACGCGTGAACAGAGGCAGGTCCCCGAACGCCACTCGCTCCTCCGACAGAAACACTTCCTGTGAGAAACGACACAGAGATAAACACTGAACTCATTGAATCATTTAAATTATAGATTTGTTTATAGATAACATATTTTATTATAGAACTACTTCCAAAGTCGCAACAATAATTTCAGTTGAACAATTCATAAAACACTGTAACTTTTTTCACTAAATGCTATCAAGATCCAAAGAGAAGATGAATGAAGAAACAAAATAAGATATACGAAGAAGATATCTTCAGAGAAATGAAGAAAAAACTAAGAGGGAATTACCTGTCTGGGTTTGGCCACAATCTGTCTCGTCGGAATGGAGTCTAAGGTGTCCTCAGAGTTTTCGATTCCCTTGTCTCCGATATCCCGCTTGTCAAAGCCCATACCTGCAATGACAGTAAACCAAAGTACAATAGGGTAAATTCAGGGATGACTTAAGCGATAAGAACAGTACATTTTGGAAAAAAACCTTTACAACCAAAATATAGCTACAATTTTTTTGAATTTATAGCTTTTACTCTTAGGTACCTCAAGAACTAAAACAGTTTACAAATTAAAGTTTTTTACACAACCAACTATTTACACAACCAATTTTTTACACAACCAACTAAGAGGAACTTCAAAGTGGGTAAATAATAATTCAATGGGAAATATTTTGCGGAAAAGCGAAGTTATTAAATCAGATTAGACCGACTTGCAACGATGTGTAACTTTTCCTACATGCAATGAGATTTCGCTTTCGATGAAATCTCACCTGGGACAGTTGGTAGCCTTTGACAAATTGTCGTTCAAGTAGAAAAATCGAGTTATAATTCAACAAAGTTTCAAAGACTCTAAAACCAATTTGGAAAACAATCGGCGCCAAATAAGATGTTTTGAAAAAACTATCAGTAACTAAGAAAAAGAAGCTCGAGTGGAAGCGGGATAAAGGCCTAGTTCAGGTTTGTTCCGACTTTCGAAGAACAAGACGAAATATTTGTGATCAGGTTGGTTTTTCCTCCAGACAAATTTTGACTTCAACCAATTTAGACGCAACTTGCTATATAATTGGGAACCTAACGCTATCCTGAGCTCAAAATTAAACATTTTGACGCCAAACTGTGCACTGGATTGGCGCACAATTTGGTGCCTGTAGGTCACTGGAAACCAGAGACAAGTCTGTTTTCAGCCTGTTGCGGAACCCGCATGCTATTCTCAAAATGCACAGTTTGGCCTCGTAGTGAAACGATATTTCATCTGCGACCATTTTTATGAAGTTCAAAAAATTCAATTTTTCATTTTTGGTTTAATTTAACAAAAAAAATTTCATCAACATTAAAGGGCAGTCGGAACATTGCAGGCTTCGATTTGATACAAGCAGTCTAGTTGTTTTTTATTGACCTTCGAAGAATATGACTGCAGTCTCCCCGTCTTCTATGATGACAGGCACCTCCACAGTGTACAGTTTGGCCTCCACTGGACGGAAGATCCAGCGCAGAGCACAGGACTTGCCTGGCTCAATGTACAATTCCTTGTCCAGACACTCGAAGATGGCACAGTTGAAGTTGTCCTGCAACAAAACAACGCAATTGAGAGAAAAACGTCACCTAAATATTTGCAACACTTGAACACAATTTAAACTCAATTAATTGAAAAAAATGACCACAAAAATAAGAACAACCACGCACGCTGACTGGTGAATCTTTCGATTGAGACCAATCTGACAAAATGCGCAGAAAAAACTATACTTAGGGAAATGATGTTGTTGTCACGTTTAGGGAACCCTAACCAAACTTCCTGTGGGGTCAAGCGAGTCGTCAAGCATTTAAACTGCTATTCCACCTCCATTAAAAAGTCTAAAAATTCAATGGGGGCAAAGAAAAAACAAAAATTTCTATTATATCTTCCGAGTCATCCAATGAAAAATTAAAATGAATGAATGCAACCGTTTCTTGTTACAGAATTTTTTACAAGCTTATCAAACAAGCATTTATTTCTTGGTCATTTTAGGCATGATTTTATCGAGAAAATACTTTAAAATATTCCCTTACCGCTTTGCAGTGTTCTAGAGCACTTAGGTCTAGCGAGCATTTGAGAGGCACTGAACCACCATTGTATAATTCGTAGAGCTAAAAAACAAAAACACGAACATCAAATTTGGAAAATCCCTCATTTTTGATTCAATCTTCGGACAAAATAGTTTAGGAAACAGATAAACAAACTACTATCTAGCGTACATTTCAGTTAAAGTCGAAAGGCTGGCAACAAGCGAAAATATGACATTTAACTGGACATCTAGAAGACATTTATTCAATTTTGAGGTTCGGCCGCATTCTCGATAGAAATGGGCATTACGGATCATTTCAGCTAACTTACTTCAAGAGTTGTTGTTTCACAAAACTGAAATATTCAAATATTAATGTGCACCGAATAACGTTGAGGTCTAATTTAGAGATTTTGATTCACTGATAAGCAACCTCACCCCCCCCCCCTTTTCCCCACATGCACATACTCACACAACATACCCAGACACACACACACGAATGCCCCGACTCTTAATGTGATTACCTGTTGAGGGGGTTCTGTGCCTGCTATCGGCACTGGTCTGAACTGGTGCACGGGGGATGCGAAGTGCAGGTATCTCCGCTGTGGCTCTACTGTCACCCCCACGAAGTTCAACACTATCTCCCTGCCCCTGTTCAACTTCAAAAGCACGGGGATACGGTTGGTGCCTAAAGGCAGCAGAGAAAATGAACAGTTTTGTGGCGTCAACGCAGCTATGATATAGCCACTGAATGTTACAACAAATTTGTCCCCCCTTTTAGGTGCTAACTAGTTGTATTACTAGAGAATTTATATATAGTTTCATTAAAAACGGCTTGAATAAAGATTAATAACTGTAAAATCACTGAAAACGCGTGGAAAGTCAATTTAAAACGTCCTCCTGAAATTACCTGGAAACAGATGCTGGTAAGTGAGAGTGATTGAGACAGACTGTCCAGGGAGGAGATTGCCGGAGTGGGGGTGGATGCGAAACAGTCTGTTCTCCGCCACCATCAGCTGGTGGAACTCCTCCTCCGAGAAGTCTCCCGACTGCGCCCAGTACTCCAGCTCCAATTTTAGGTCAGCCGGGAAGTAGAAGTTCCTGAAAACATGATCAAAACTTTCGTTTTTTAGGGCATAAAAGAGTCTATATATTTTCACATTAAAAATGTGAGCATTGTTCATACATTGGGTTTTTCTACTTGAAGGTTCACGAGCCAATAAAATGTTTCTGTAACATTTCATTTTGAAAACAACTGATTCGCAAAAAAGTAGAATGCATGATTATAATTTTGAACCTTTCCACGAATAATGAGTGGCGTTCACCGCTACTAATATTACCAATCAACACAAGTGCGTCGGTCTTTAAAAGAATAACTGAAGAAAAAATTTCAAACCAATATGCGGCAGAAACTTTAACCTCAAAAACGAAAATCTTGCTAAAATTCAATCAAGTTTTTCAATATAAAGGTCATTTCTCGAACATAAAGATCACCATTAGGCTGGTAAGTAAATTTTAATCTAAGTACCACTCGGTTTGGACGTGAGAAGTGTTCTCAAACAGCAGCACAATCTTCGTGTTTGGAGACCCAGCAGGAGCAGAACCGAAGTTCATGTTGATCGCATCCGACCTAGAATCATTACAGCAAATATTCGACAAAATATAACATGCTTAGCCTTATGTTTTAAACATTTATGGAGCACATTTACCGAGCTTTTACTGAAAGAGTGCACATTTTTATATACTCGCAAGCTGACTACTGATATAAATAAATTAGTAAATTGGAAATAGAATATTCCATGTACAACAGTAATCTAGTTTGTACAAAACTGCAGAAAATTAAAGATATTTTTGTTACCTGGCATTGTTAGCTAGATCGAATGAGCCGTGGCGGCCTTCGCCTCTCCTCGACTCCATGCTCATTCGGCTGACTGCCGAGTACCTCAGTTCGGCATGTTCCGGATCTGCGTCCAGCACTTGGTTCAGCCTGAACAGTGTTTAAGAGGAAGTTACAAAAATAAAGTTTTCCCTCTTTTAGGCTCAATCTGTTTTATCGAGTAAAAAGTATTTAAAATCGTGTAAAAAATTGGATAAGTAAATATTAGTCAGTGTCAATGTAAAAAAAGAGTAGAACTAGCGCCGAAACTTAATTGGAAACTACATCCAAATTTTAATGAGTCAATATGAATTCAATCAAAAAGAAAACCACCTATTCAAAAATAACAAATACCGTTACTCGAAAAATGGATCAGAACGTAATCATTCATAAGTATCATGAATGGTGTCCCACTTTTTAAACCCTTTCATTTGTTACCACACTATCAAAATTAATCCATAAGTCAGAATGTGTCTGATTGACGACCTAATTAGGAGTAACTTTTGCTTAATAAAACTCATCCTACTTCAAATGCGAATAAGGTTTGATCAAAATTCAATTTAACTGACTAATTTATCAAAATTTTTACAAAATGTTTCATTCACTCTTAACAATATTTTAAATTTTTTTCAATAAAGATATCTGACAACTTTTCCTACCTAAATATCAAATACAACCAAAACTTCACAAGTATAACTGCAAAGTACTAGCATTTTTAGGAAACGACAAAATTTTCGAGTAATTTGGCGGTCTTTACCACAAAATCTCTGCAGTAAAAACTCAAGCGCAAACAGAGATCAAAGTTGCGGAAGATATCAGCGAAGATTGCGCACCATCAATTGCAATCGCAACAGCCATTCCACGCGTCACGCAAAAAAACTGCGACTCAAACTGCCTCCAACAAGTACAAATCAGGCAAAAACAATTCAACGAAAATTTATTGTCTCAATCCATCTGGCCTAAGTATTTCACAGCTTCGTTTTTCATTGGTTCACAAGCAGGAGCGGATCTAGGAATTTTTCGAAGGAGAGGGGCGGATTTTCAAAAAAATTTGAAATTTTTAGGTTGACCAAATTAATTTTCGGAGCTCTCCCAAATCACTATAAAGATCCTATATTGACCAAATTTTCTGCGCCGCAGGCAACTTTTTCAAAAAACAGGCCAAAAAAGCGTTTTTGGGCACTTTTTGGAAAATTTTGACCGAAAATCGCGTTTTTTCGACGCGCGCTCCCCCCTCAAAATTAGTATATATTGGCGCCCAAGGCGCCTTTAGAAAATTTTTAGGGTCCATGACAAAAAATGGCCATCTCAAAATAGTACAAAGGGGAGACCCTTTAGGCCGGAAGGGAGTCGAATCCCTGAGGATTGGGGGGGAAGCGTCCACCCTAAACCGCCCCTCTAAATTCGCTACTGCATTCAAGTATCTTAATGCATCAGCCAGAACTGAATTCTCGACTGATTTTGAAATAAAATATCACGACCTCAAAATAAAAAAAAACATTATGAGTACATAAAATTCAAAAAAATGATATTCCTTTCCTTGCGGCTGTAAAAATGCTGTCTACAAGTCTACAAGCAGTTCAATTCCATAGAAATCGACCTCAAGACGGGACGCTATGTTGGGGGTAGGGGGACATTAGATAGTCAGAAAACAGACGGAACCGCCATGGACAGATTATAGCCTTATTGGACTTCTCAAAAATCATTTAATTGCAAAAAATCGATTAACTTGATATGAAAATACACAGTCCACACTCAGAAATTCAGCCTCGCAACTTTACTCTCATCTCTCAGGAGTTCACAATTTGCCAAAAATGCCCAGATTAGGTGCATGGCAAACGGATGTACCCAGACCAGGAAAACAACTCTCTACGCCGAAGTAGCAGAATACATTGACTGGATCAAATAGTTCGACGGAACTACTTAAGAGATTAGATGTAATTTTGATGAATACTTAAGTCATATCACCGCGGCGAAATTGAATTATTGTAATGTTTTTCACAATATTTTCTAGGTTGTTTCGAAATCTTTCAGTCAGAAAAATTAAGTAGCGCACCATCACAGAGGTATCTCATCAATTTCTACGTTAGAGAGCAAACTAAAAAAATTTGTAAGGGCCTGTTGAGCAATTGTTCATTCATTCAAAAACACGAAAAAATGCCACATTGAAAACAAAAATGGCCGTGTTATTAAAAAGATAATCCCGACACATTTACTGTCACCCTTGGCATATTTCATTTTTAACAAGGATATCTAAGCCAAGCAAATAAAATTTGAACCTAACATCTGAGTAACCGAGTTAAATTTAGTCATACTACTCAAAATTCCCAATTTGTAAATGCAACTAAAACATGGTGCATACGAAATTAGGCTACCAATTACGCATCCCGGATTTAGCGCAAAATATCAATGGTAGCTTCTGAAGTAAATACACATATCATAAATGTAAAGTTCAAAGTAATAAATTTCGCACCTAGTAACAACTCAATTATGGTAATGGGCTTGCTTCAACCAATTTGGAACGATTTCTAAGACGGATTCAATCTCCGCTTGCGCGTTAATAGCGCAAAATATATCGAGCGTTAATTATCCCAAATTTGCCAGATTGGCAAACTTTAAACACCCATAACTTTTCGAAAATAATCACAGGTGAATTATCTTTTCAAATTTAAGCTAAAAAAACCATAATTTTTGAATGATTTTTATTTCAGAAATGGCTAGTTAAAAATTTGAAATTTGTCTGAAGAAAAAAAACCCACCCCGAGCACACATATTCCGTTACTTTCGTTACGAAAGTCGGAACAACAAAACTGCTCGTATACAGGGAAAAGCCCTGAATGTTTCGACTAACCCTTAATCTATATCGAATAGCTTTTAGGAGAGGAAACGATTGAAAACTATATATTTTGGACAATATCAAAGATCACTTTTTGAAAACTTGTGTCGTACAAAACTAATACGACCAATTAGCTAGCCTCAATTCAATTTGGAACGGTTTTGCAATTTTTTTACAGATGTACGGTCAGTCTTTTTTTAATACTCAATGCATTTTGGTTTTCAAATCACTCCGTTTTCTTCAAAAGTCGAAACAATAACCGAATGCGGTGCAAATTTTCATCACGTACCAGCTATACACAGTACAAACTTATTTTCTTAGCATCTATCAATCTAGCATAATTTCAAGATTATGGATTAAATACTCAAAGTGCGCATAAATTAGTCCAGAGCATGGCCAAATGCCAACTTTCAAACTACCACAATTTGAAGAGGTAGAATATTTTTTTAAATTTCATTTCAAGGAGTCGGTATCTACAATGGATCATAAAAATTTTGTGTTAAAAACTATTATTTCAATCTTCGAAAGCTGACAGAATAAAATAAACCCATACCAAGCATAAATACTCCGTTTTCTTCAAAAGTCGAAACAATAACCGAATGCTGTGCAAATCGCTCAAAGTTTTCTGACTTCAAGTATGTAAGCAGCAAAAGATACCTTGAGTCAAATAAATCGCCCATATGCAGTGAGTATTCAAAAAAGACTGACCGTATATCTTTAAAAAAAATGATAAAATTAAAAAAAAACTCTTCAGATTTATTTGATCTTCCCACCACACGCTATGCAAAGTTTCGAGTGATAAAAAAGAATGCTCGCATCAGGGCAAAAATCTGAATGTGTTTGTTTAAACTTTCATCACGTACCAGCTATGCACAGTACAAACTTATTTTCTTAGCATCTATCAATCTATTAACAAGACTGCTCGTATCAGGGCGAGGCCTTGCAAGGTTCGACTGCATTTTGAGGTCTATGGGGTAAATTTCCTTTTTAAAAACGAATGAATTTTTCAAAAAAAAAACACATTTTTTTTCTGGATTTTTTAAATCATCCCCCAAAAGCTATATTAAGTACAGAGCAAAATACTTTGCATGTAACAAAGTATAAAATACACCAAATATCATGTCTCAATTTAATTTGCTTACGCTTCCTTAGCACGAAAAACATTCGCGTGTTAATTATCCGAAATTGACAAAATTTTCAATGTTTGAACTCCCATAAGAATACGGAAAAAGATTACAGGCACAAAGCTCTTTCAAATTTGAGCTCAGGACAACAATATTTTTGGAATGATATTTAAAAATTTTGTCTGGAGAAGAAAAAACACCCCGAGCGTACTTTCAGTCAATTCCGTCACTCTCTTCAAAAGTGGAACAATAAATCCAAATCTTTCGCCTCAATTCAATTTGAAACGATCTAAGAGCGGAGTGAATAGCAGCATACGCGCGCTCATAGAATGAATAATCTCACACGTTAATTGCCTTAAATTGGCCAAAATTGTCATTTTCAAACCCACATTACTTTTCGAAAAAAATTATCAAGGTGTTTTTTTTAAATTTGACACAGGGACAGCACTGGATTTGAATGGCTTAAAAAATTCTGATCCAAAATGGCTGGTTAAAAGGTCTAAATTGGTCTTGAAAAAAACTCACTACGAGTACAAATATTGTGCTTTTTTCTTCGAAACACGGAAAACTAGCGCCTATCAACGTATTAAAAAGTCCAAATAGCTTGCTCCCATACAGTTTGTAACGATTTCTGGGCCAGATCAAGTCGCCGCTTACGCGTTAGTGCACGAAATTTATCGCATGTTAATTGCTCAATTTGATAATTAGCAATGCATTTAACTTACGAAAAATGATCACAGGTAAAAACATCTTTTTAACTATGAACTCAAGACGTCAATACATTCCAGATGACATAACAACTCCGTTCAAAACGGCTGGGTAAAAAAAATCACAATTTGTCAGATGAAAAAACCACACCTCAATATGGCATACTTTTTTGAAAGTCGGATCAATGCAATGATCAATTAGCTTGCCTGATTTCAATTCGGAATAAGTTTGTGTGCGGCTCAACAAACCATGGTCTTCACATTATTAAATGAGCAGTTAACGTAGACACCAAGCACACGTGGGAAAATCACAACAACAATGGAAAAATGAAAAAGTAAAACATTGAGCGTGAAAAGCGCTTAAATTAGAAAAAAAACTGCAAAAAAAAGTAGGACTAAATTTTAAATTTGAAATGGGGTTCAATTTTCTAATTTCAAACATTGTACAATTTGATCTGAAAACATAAAAACTGAGAACTTTTTTTCGACACAGACAATATTAACTTTTGACAATTTTTAACTTTTTTTAAAAAGTCCGACTAAGTCAAAATAGGGCTGAAAAACCTTACCTATGCCATGGCTTTTTCCCACTGAACAAAAGAAGCCGGAACAAAAACAAGAGAACATTGTTCGCAAGCTGATCTTTGTTCTCTATGATTGGAAATGCCGAAAAATCACAGAAAAAAAGGTATAAGAAAATTCTCAATATATGAAACTTTGAAAATAATAGAAATCTCTCAGTCCATTTTTTAATAATCTAATTTTTCAAACAAAAATAAACCCAACATTTTTCATGGCAGTTAAGAATTACCTTTAGTGGGTGCATGCGCACGGAGTAATACACCTCAAAAGTTACCACAACATTATTTCAATTTAGGGTTCTTTTTTAAGGTATTTATAGTTAACACAGCTGGCAGATTGTTGTTAAAATTTTATTCATCTCATAAGACGAGGGAAAACAAAACGATGAACACAAAGGACGGCTTAAAACAAAGGACTGCAAAGATTCACATTCACTGAAAACAAGCATACAAAATAAAACTGACTTCATTCGCTAGAAAAAGAACAATGGTAGGCACCTGTCGACGTTGAGTAGTCTCCATAGATACACTTTGCTCATGTTTTCTGCAGCCCCGAAGCACTGCGCGTCCCTCACTTGCAGACATGGGAACATGCCACGCACAGATACAGTACATAGGTCAATAGGGTCCACTCCTGCTTCGTCCTCATTGGCTGAAACCAAAAAACCAAATTGAGTATTGGCCAATCAAAATGAAGCAGATCGATTCTATGGAAATCAATCGAAATGAACACTTGGATATTGGGAGACGGATATTAAAATGTTTTTCAAGTAATTTCAGAAAAAAGTGTTTATATGTACAAAAATACATCAGCTCGAAATTTTGACAACCGACCAAAAAGCGAGATTAAATTTGACTTTCAGGTTGGAAAACTTCTGTGAACAATATTAAGAACAGAACTTTTTTATAAGGCTGTAAAAATGTGCCCTCGAGCCTTAATTAGTGGGGGTTCTCTCTCAAAATTCAGGAGTAAGATTCTTTGGAATCCCAGTTAACCAAATCTAGTTGTGACCTGATTGTACAATGAGTCCCTGTATGTCGAACTGGTAGTGCACTCTCCTTCTGGGATTGACAGTGATTTGTATTATCTTGTGGGTGCGGGCAGGTACAGTCCCACCCAGTGGCGAAAGCTCAAGGGCTAAAATCACTTCAAATCAAATACTTGGCACATTCTGGGGGACAAATACAATGAATGATAAGTCTGTTATGCCGTCCCATTTTCATAAAATTTTCATAAAATTTGCAATTTCGAGTTCTTCCCATTCAAAGCTCGCCAACGTGTAATCATTTCGCCATTTTTAGTCGTCTTATTATTGTTTGTTGCTAATCAGATGAAATTTTGAGTCGAGAATGATCTCCGACAAGAAACAAATATTTTTTGAATTTGATGAAAAATTTTCTTAAGATGGCTTTAGGCCTTCATTTTTCGCCAATATTACCACGCCTCGAGTGTCTGACCAATTTTTGGCTGACCTGGTTTATCGGTGAGCACCTCTTCGTCTTCATAATCGCCCTCCACTCTGGCGCTGTATGCCAGTCTGAAGTTGACATTGACGTTGCTGCTGTTGAACAGAGTGAGTGTCTTGGTCTGCCTGTTGCCACAAATCACTTCTCCGAAATCCACACTCTCCTCTCTGCACTCCAGAGATCCTTCTGTCGTCTCACACACTACTTGCACCTTGTACGCTTTGTGCACTCTGAAAATAATGAAGATGAGCCCGTAGCAAAAACGGCGCAGAGACAATTCAGCCACAGACAATTCAGCCGATTTAAAATACAGACAATTCAGCCAAAAAAATAATTCAGCCAAAGACAATTCGGCCTATTTAGATTAAAGAGACTAGATAAAAGGAAAACTGAAAACTTTTCTAATTTGATTAGAGTCCGAAGGCTTTCACCGCTTTAACAAAGAAATGTGAAACATCAAATAACAAATTTCAAAGATCAAAACAAACTTGCAAGGTATAAAGTTTTAAGATATATGTACATTGAAGGTACAAAGTTTTAAATACTTCTGTATATGGTCTCGATTGTAGTTTTTTGCGTTTTGAACGAGTTTCTCATTGGCGAGTGTATGTATACTTGGGCCTCGGTTTTCTAATAACATCACCGGACATCAGTCTCTCTACATTTATTTCGGCATTTTTTTTGATCATCTTTGAAACGTGTGATCAGCTTGGGGAGGGCGGGGTGCTTTGCCATTTCATGCCTCCAATGCATTGTTCGTACGAGGTTCACCGCTGAGCACCCGATTGAAAACGTTCCAATCGGCAATGTCAAATTCTGGTTTGACGCGTCTATTCCCTCGACAGGCACCAATATAGGGGTCTTCAAAATAGTCCGATAGACTCTGAAATTCCTCTGAGGGATCCTCTTTTCGGAGAGCCTCAAAAGCGAAAATAACGTCGTCAACGAGAACGAATGCCAAGCAAATCATTTTTTTGACATTCAGTCGAAACTCATCATCGTCCATGTACTTGCGCGTAAATCCAAGTTTTTGTACATTGCGCCATACTGCCTGGCCTAGATGGAAGAAACAGAATTGAATTTCTGTATCAGGCTGCATTTTCCTTATGGCGTTGCGAACAGCGGCTTCAAAATCAATGACTACTTTTTTTCCAAATTGCTCTAAGCAGCCAAAAAGTTTTTCACATGTGTCTTGGGTCTTGTTGGGCAGCAGAGCATACACCAAGGGTATAACTGCATTTTCGATTACACCATGAATAGTATAAATTTGGTAAAAGACATCTGGTGCCACTGAAATCAATGTTAATTGTGTAAATGGACAATCTAACTGCAAAAAGTAGGTGTTAAACGCGGTACTGGTTTGTGGTTGGACAATATTTTAATCGCAATTAGTTTATCTTTTAAAGAAGTTTAAGTTTCTAATTAGTTTCTACCAACTACCCAAATTACCTAATAGGCGGTTGCACCCTCCCCCGCCTAAGGCATGATGAGAATATCAGCGTAACTGTGTGGCCAGTACGTGGTAGGGGTGGTCAACCCTTTAACTCATATCCTTTTTGACCGCCTGTAAAACTCCCAATCTTGGTTCCACTTTCGCGTAAATTGGTTAACTTTTAAGTATTGTGCAGTTTTTTGTTCAGTTCGATTTTTGCTCAGGTACTATTCTAAAATTGGAAACATAATGAGTTGCATAAAATTTTATTATGTTTACGTACTTTTGTTTCTGTTAATTATATTTATTTTATGTGCATTTGAAATGAATTAATTATAAGTCGTCTAATGAAAGCATTGATGTTTTGCCGCATGTGAAAAGTTTTTGCGCGCACGTTTTAAAACTTTAAAACTGTCTGAATTGTCTTTGGCCGAATTGTCTCACTCATTTTGACTGAATTGCCTGAAATTGAAATAGGCGAAAAACAAGTTTTAAAAACAGAAAAAAAGCTTATATTCTAATTAGAAAAAAATGTTAATTTTTGTGCATGCAGCGGAGGGACCAACCAAAAATTGTCTAAAAACAAACAATGATTTTATTAAAATGAACAAATTTTTTTCAACGCTTCAAAGCAAAAATTCTGTAGTCTTAAAATTTGTCTAAAACTTGTCTCTTGACACAAAAATTTTTTGAACATTCTTTAACACCAATTGAAGCCCATCTGAAAACTTTTTTTTAGATGATACCAACCCGGGTCGAGATCCCGCCCAAAAACCGCTCAAGATTTGAGCGGTTTTCCAGCAAGATTTGAGCGGTTTGGGCGGTTTAAGCGGTTTTTTTTTGGAAAAATCGCTCAAACCGTGCTTAGAAAACCGCTCAAAAACCGCTCATTTCTTGCGGTGATTTTTGAACGGTTTTTCAAGCAAGATTTGAGCGGTTTTTGAGCGGTTTTTGAGCGGTCTTCCCGGGTCGAGGTCCCAGACTCACGTCCATACTTTCGCGACAAAACTTTGGCATGTCCAGACTTTCCAGACCAAAATTAGTTCAAAACTTAACAAACTTTGGCTCTTTTCCAGTTCCCCCCCCCTTTTCAAAATCAATTTTGAAAAGCTTATATAACATTGTCATATTGCAATGAAATTTGGCGTGGTTAAAAAATCGACAATTGTGAACAAATTTGTTCTTGATACTTAACAGCGTAACATCACGCATTTAGCCGTAATACACATATAAAACAAACATAAAACTCGGTGTTTTGAAAGGGGGGAAACTGGAAAAGAGCCCAAACTTTTAATGTTTGGATCAATGAGTTGACAAAAAACCAATTTCTACCTCCCACGCCCCCCCCCCCCCCCCTCCCCATACCACCATCATCGAAGTCGGCTCTTTTTCCTTCCCCCCCCCCAACTGCAAATTTTTACATGTAAATTTGTTGACTACATTGTTGAATACATTGACTACTCGTAAAACCACTCGTTACACTAATATATTGAAGGTCGTGTGAGGTGGGGGGGGGGAAAGGAAAAAGAGCTTCGAAGTCTTTTTGAGGTGCCAATAATGACGTCAAATGTTTTGCGCTTCAGAATGTTAGTCTATATTTCAGATGTTAGTCTACAGTTTCAGGGCAGCATGGCCTAACGGATAAGGCGTCTGACTTCGAATCAGAAGATTGGAGGTTCGAATCCCTCTGTGGTCGACTTTTTATTATTAAATCTTGCGCGGTTTTTGAGCGGTTTTTTTAGATAAACCGCTCAAAACCGTTCAAATCTTGCGCGGTTTTTGAGCGTTTTTTTTAGATAAACCGTTCAAAAACCGCTCAAACCGCTCATTTTGAAGCAAGATTTTGAGCGTAATTGTATAAAAAAACCGCTCAAATCGCTCAAATCTTGCTTCAAATTAGGTGAAAAATCTCGACTCGGGAATAAACCAATTCTACTAATTATTTATGATCACTGATTTTGCATGGGGAAATAAAGAAAAAAGTGGTCCCTCCCGCTGTATTAATTATTAATTTCAGAGAGTTTTTTGATAAACTTTTACTTTCGTAAGAGTTTATTTATTATGAAATTCAATTTTTGTTTTTTCAATTTTTTTAACTATTCAGCTAATCAAATTATGGTGCTTGATTACATTAGTTGGCAGATTCAAGTTCAATAGCTGGATCGCTTTTTTATACTTCGAACAATATTTGTAATTTATTTCAAAAGCCAAAGTCTGCAAAATAAAGGTACAAAAAATATCTAAGTAGCAAGTACAATTGATTTAAAATGAAATGACTAGATTATGCATTATAGTTCTAAAATTTAAGACGTATACTGTGCTCAAAATTACCATCTATTGTATAATATCACCCAACTTACGACTTGGAAGTGATAGATACAAATACAATTAAGAGACTGTTTTAAACTTAACTTAAATTATGCTTTTCACAAACGAAATTTTCGGCGTCAAAAAATCAAGTAAAAATGCTCACTTGATAAGAATTATTTTCATCCTTTACAAACAAAAACATTACGACTGGATGAGCAAAAAATTACATATTCCTAATGGTTCAAATGTTTCATTTGATAGTTTTTGGTACTACTATGATAGTGGTCCCTTGAAAATAACCAAATCCCTTGAGAATAAGACACTAAGAGCTCTTTAATCGTTTAATAATTATGATTACGTCATTCAGAAAGATGTCGCAGTATATTTTCAAACAAATTTCATGTTTTGTTACCTCTTAAAACCTCCCCCTCGCCATTGTAGGATTGAAATTTCAAAAAAACCGCCAATAGTGGGTTTTGATGACAAATAAGTCAAGCTAATTACATAGGTTGTTAAACCATAAAATAAAGTAAAGCGAGCAAATTTCAATATATAAACAATAGTGATTACAATTTCCAATGTGAAAAGTTTCTGACTGAACATATTTTGCAAGATTTATTGAAATGAATAATTTATGCACAAATTAGTTTTCGAAATTATAACATGCGAAATGCATGCGGGACCTGTCTACCATAGTTGCTTTTTCAAGGGACCACTCTATCATAGTAGTACCTAGTTTTTCAAAACGATCACCTATTTTTAAACTAATTTCGCCAAACTCAATCCATGCGAAGTAATCAGCTGTGAAAAACAAAAATAACACAGAGGCGAAGCGGTGCTTTGTAACACGAAAGCCGGTACAATTAGACATACTGCGGTTTAAATATAGAAAAAAGTACTCATGAGATGTCGATCCAATCTTCTCAAACACTTCCAGTTAACAAAAAACAGGCTTCTTCAGTGTTTGAACGAAGAATCCCAAGCACTAAATGCGCAAAATAACTGAAACTGAGTTGTTTTAAAGTGAATTTGTCAAATTATCCACTAATTCTGTTAGAATTTTTTTAAGCCTAAAGAAAAAGATTGGTTTTAATTTGATAGCATTTGCTAATCGCAAGCCTGAACATAACTTCTTTTTCGGATTAATGTTTTTAGTGATGATATTTGATGATGGAAGTAGTGCAAAACAATTTAAGCAAACTAAAAAAGTGCACTTAGTACAGTCAAAACAAATTTTACAAATTTCACTAATACTCACTTGGTCATGTCTGACGTGACTCTGAGAAAAGTCTTATAGTGGGACACTTTCTTCTTCTCTGTCTTGAGGGAGATCTCGTGTGCCTGGATCTCATTCGGCAGAATAACTCCACTAGAGGGCTCCACTGTCAAGTAATCCTGATCTTCCTTATTGATGCGCCACTCAAAACTAAACAGATGCATTAATAATGCGATTAAAGTGTTGCTGTGTAAATCGCAAAAAATGACCTGACTTCTTGTTTTCGCGTCGATAACCACTTCGATAGCCATTTCTGGTAACGGTGTTTATTGTTCCGACTTTCGTAACGAAAGTAACGGAATATTTGTGCTCGGGTGGGTTTTTTCTTCACTTTTTAACTAGCCATTTTTGACGGAATTTTTATATCATTCAAAAGGCATTGTTGTCCTGAGCTTAAATTTGAAAAGATATTTCACCTGTGATCATTTTTCGTAAAGTTAAGATTGCCATTTTGGCCCATTTGGAACAATTAACGCGCGATATATTTCGCGCTATTAACGCGTAAGCGGAGATTTAATCTATCTTAGAAATCGGTCCAAATCTATCACTTTGTACTTTATTTGGCGTGTGGGGGGATGATTTGAAAAAAAAATCTCAAATTTAAATTTTTTTTCTTCATTTTTTTATTACATTTAATTTTTTGCTCCATGTTATTTTTTGCTCCATAGATCTTAAAAGACAGTCGAAACAATCAGGGCTTCGCCCTGATACGAGCAGTCTTGTTGTTCCGACTTTCGATACGAAAGTAACGGAATATTTGTGCACGAGGTGGGTTTTTTTTTCTTCAGACAAATTTCGCTTTTTTAACTAGCCATTTTTGACGGAATGTTTCTATATCATTCAAAAACTATTGTTGTCCTGAGCTCAAAATTGAAAAGATATTTCACCTGTGATCATTTTTCGTAGAGTTACGGGTGTTTAAAGAATGCCATTTTGGCCAATTTGGGACAATTAACGCGCGATATATTTCGCGCTATTAACGCGTAAGCGGAGATTTAATCTATCTTAGAAATCGATCCAAATCTATCACTTTGTACTTTATTTGGCGTGTGGGGAGTTGATTTGAAAAAAAAATCTCAAATTTAAATTTTTTTTTTTCATTTTTTTATTACATTTAATTTTTTGCTCCATGTTATTTTTTGCTCCATAGATCTTAAAAGACAGTCGAAACAATCAGGGCTTCGCCCTGATACGAGCAGTCTTGTTGTTCCGACTTTCGATACGAAAGTAACGGAATATTTGTGCACGAGGTGGGTTTTTTTTTCTTCAGACAAATTTCGCTTTTTTAACAAGCCATTTTTGACGGAATATTTCTTTATCATTCAAAAAGTATTGTTGTCCTGAGCTCAAATTTGAAAAGATATTTCACCTGTGATCATTTTTCGTAGAGTTACGGGTGTTTAAAGAATGCCATTTTGGCCAATTTGGGACAATTAACGCGCGATATTTTTCGCACTGTTAACGCGTAAGCGGAGAGTTAATCCGTCCTAGAAATCGTTCAAAATTGGTTGAAAGAAGCTTATTTGCCATAATTGATTTGTTACAAGGAGCGAAATCTATCACTTTGTTGTTTATATTGCGCGTGGGGGGATGATTTTCACAAAAATCTCACAGTTTTAGGAAAAAAAATTTTTAATTTTATTTTATTACATTTAATCTTTTCGCATTATAACTGCTCCATAGACCTTAAAAGGCAGTCGGTACATTCAGGGCTTCGCCCTGATACGAGCAGTCTTGTTGTTCCGACTTTCGATACGAAAGTAACGGAATATTTGTCCACGAGGTGGGTTTTTTTCTTCAGACAAATTTCGCTTTTTTAACTAGCCATTTTTGACGGAATGTTTCTATATCATTCAAAAAGTATTGTTGTCCTGAGCTCAAATTTGAAAAGATATTTCACCTGTGATCATTTTTCGTAGAGTTACGGGTGTTTAAAGAATGCCATTTTGGCCAATTTGGGACAACTAACGCGCGATATATTTCGCGCTATTAACTCGTAAGCGAAGAGTTAATCCGTGTTAGAAATCGGTCCAAATTAGTTGAAAATAGCTTATTTGCCATTATTGATTTGTCACAAGGAGCGACATTTATCCTTTTGTATTTTATATCGCGTGTGGGGGGATGATTTTCATTTAAAAAAATATCAATTTTTAAGGGAAAAAAATTTCATTTTGTTTTATTTCATTTAATTTTCCATGTTATTACTGCTCCATAGACCTTAAGAGGCAGTCGGAACATTCAGGGCCTCGCCCTGATACAAGCAGTCTTGTTGTTCCGACTTTCGATACGAAAGTAACGGAATATTTGTGCTCGGGGTGGGTTTTTTTTTTCTTCAGACAAATTTCGACTTTTTAACTAGCCATTTTTGACGGAATTTTTTTTATCATTCGAACGGTATTGTTGTCCTGAGCTTAAATTTGAAAAGATATTTTACCTGTGATCATTTTTAGTAAAGTTATGGGGGTTTAAAGATTGCCATTTTGGCCAATTTGAGACAATTATCGCGCGATAATTTCGCGCTATTAACGCGTAAGCGGAGAGTTAATCCGTCTTAAAATCGTTCCAAATTGGTTGAAAGAAGCTTATTTGTCATAATTGATTTGTTAAAAGGAGCTAAATCTATCTTTTTGTACTTTAAATGGCGTGTGGGGGGATGATTTTCATAAAAATTTCAAATTTTAGAAAAAAAAATTCATATTATTTAATTACATTTATTTTTTTAATGTTATTACTGCTCCATAAAACCTTAAAAGGCGGTCGGAACATTCAGGGCTTAGCACTGATACGAGCAGTCTTGTTTTATTTGTGCCTAAAATAACTAACCAGCTCATGATTATTTACTGAATATTTAATAAATGGCATTACATGATCTTTACAAGTGTAGAAATAAGTTGGAGCTACAGAACAAATATATATTTTGAATTCATCTTTTCTTATTACTGAGTTTGTTTTAAGTTTCCTTTATGCTCTCTCAATTCATTTTAGTCTCTTTTATAGTTTTTTCTAATCTGAGTATTGGCTGAGAGGATTTAAATATAAAATCGAATTTTTGAGACATATTTTCTGGTAGCTCAAATAGTCTGGTGTAATCTTTCGCGCCAAACCTTGTTCACCTTATCGGAAAATTGCAAAACTCCTGAACTTACTTTAAAGGAAGGCGTGAATTATTTCTGAATGCGTATCGTTTCTGTACAATTTCTCCAGGGCACGTTGGCTTCATGAACACCATAGCCTGAAACAATAATCACTTACGAAGAAAATTCTAGAACGTTTCCTAAAAACTGTGCAAAAATAGAGAAAACTTCTTATGAGAAGAGCCGAATGCCCCAAAATTAAATTAGCTACTAAGAACTCAGTATAATGAAAAATGAATTAAATGAGCTGGAAAGCTAATCAGTTTTGGGCTGTTTGAAAAATGTTAATTCGTGGAAAAAATTCGCTACTTTGGTTCTTCTACCAAGAGAATAGCCTAGCCCTAGAACAAGGTATCCACTTACATTACTATCAACTAATAGTGCTGGCGAATCCACAAATGCAGAAATGGTGAAAGTCTTCAAATATTTTGCATTGTGGTTCACGTGACACTGGATGTTAGCCGAGTACTTCTGACATTCGTCTCCAGTGAACTTGATCACACATATCTGGACGCAATGAGGCAGAATGAGAGCTGCCTGAGGCCAGACTTCGAAGTGACCTTTGGGGTCGGAGTCGAAGTTGAAGGTCAAAGAAGTGGTTCCTCTGTTGACTAAGTGAATAGTTTGGTAGCTGGGAGTAGAAGATACGCACGGCGGCATCATCTGAAGAAATCGGTTGACAATAAAAACGCCGGAAAAAATTGTAAGCCAAAGCGCTTTAAGTTCTTCAAAAATGTTCTGGCTTTATACTTTTAGACTTTGCTACATATGTGACTTCACTAAAAACCAAATAAACAACATAAAACAAGGAAAATCAGTTAAATTTCCACAAAAAAACGGCTCCAAAGTCAACCTTCAGCATTTGAACTCGACTAACAAAAGAGATCGCGACTTTTTCGATACTACTTTTCAACATCCATTGATTCGCCGACAAGACCTAAAACACGTGCTTATTTTAAATTTTTCTGAGTTTTAAACAATTTCACGAAGTTTTGAAGCCGAACGGGAACGTACCGCAAGATTACAGACAAATATTTGTTTAGGAAGCATGGACAGCAAAAAATCGCATGAACAACCACATCACTCACAATTTTCTTGTTGGAAATATCCATGTCTGCCTTGAAAGTGTCCTTGATGGAGTTGAATGTATGGCCTATGGTCTCTATCAGGACACACCTGGGCAGAGTGACACACCGGGGGTCCGACACTAGTTCATGGTGTCTCATCACCTGAAAGGGAAGTAGGCGAAGTTGAAAAATGGTGTTCAAAATCCAAAGATTCAACTGGGGTGAAACTAATAATAAATCGGCCTAACCAAGCGAGGCTGAACATCTAGATGAATAAAATCTCTACTCTTTCCTATTATATGCCACGGAATTTACGCCAAGCCAACCAACCTGTTTGTTTTTTATCCTCACAGTTTTCCAAGGTCGCCTAAATAGCCAAAAATTGAAATTAATTATGAAAAAAAAACATTTTTTACCTTGAAGAAAGCGAATGCCTCCAGTTGTGTGCCGAAGAACTTGTCGAAGCCGTCTGGCCTGAAGAACACCCTGAATGACTGCGCCTTGAGAGGGGGGATGTCACACACCTGGGGTTCCACCCAGAACCCACTCTTAGAATTAACTCCTCCACTCGCACTCCAAGCTAGTGTCACTTTGGCCTTCGTGTTGTTCGTTATGTTCAAGGTCTGAAAAAAGTCAAGTAGCTAATTCAGCAAACGTTTTCAAATTGAAAGTCCGCATACTTTTACCTAAAAATTTATTTTAGTATTTAGATCGAATAATTAATTCTATTCCCAGAATTGATATCAAAACAAATGAGGTTTTTCTTCAGAATAATACAAAAATTTCTTTTTTATCCCAAACTTTCTTTAAAATTAGGAGATTTCTGATAAGCTGAGAGCGGCAACAGTCAGCTAGCTTTACGCTCTACAGTTCGGTAAAGATCACACGTAGCTAAACTATATCCTTTATCAAACTCAAATAAGTGTTTTTCTACTTTTGCTGGAATGTTAATGGTACAGGCAGGTTGCACTACCAGGGATAATTGTCCGTGACCTTCAGCAGCTCTCACCTGTTGCATTGGTTCATCAAAGTTAGTCACTCTTCCGAAATCGAACTTGTTTTTCTCTAAAGTGACAAACTTCTCCAGTTTCGGATCCTCTTTTCTGAACAAACTGGAGAATGGTTGACTAGATTGTGATGAGAATTCGGCCAAATCTGATTGGCTGACACGATCAGCTTCATTGCGCCAATCGAGAGCTCCAGATTTGGCTGAGATTTTATTGGCTGACAGCAGTTGCGTCAAATGCTGAAACAAACCAAAAACTTGTTTAGAGCAGACCGAAAATAAAAATCAACATTTGTAGCAGAAATTAGTTTTCTTTTTCAAAAGTTCTTGTCTTCAACCAATTTTCACTTAACGCAGTATGTAGAGTTCTAAGATCGCAAATCGAAAAAACTGCATTTAAATTTTGATAATTTGCATTTTATTGGTTCCTCTTAAAGAGCTGAACAGCTCTTAAGTCGCTCCTTTTGCGGCTCGTGGATAAATGATCAAACTGGAAAACGTAGCTTGCCTCTGGAGAGAGGGTTCCCATCCCATGTTGCATCTGTTTGTAGTGCCTGGAGATTTGAGTAGAAGTGATGGCAAGGGGTTTGAACTCCTCGCAATGGGCAACGCCATAAAGGTCCACAAAGAGGGAATCCTGCAAAAAAGGAAGAAAATTAGGGTTGTAAATGTCAATTTAAAGGAACGTTTTTATTGTATTATTGTCAAGCCTGGAGTTTTTCCATTTAAAGACACTGACCTATTTTAAGAATTCCCACCAAATTAATCATCTATTACAAAGAGAGCTCTCACCTGTTGGTTGATCAGCAACTGCAGTCTCCTGTAGCAGCCTATGGAGTGTGTCGGGGTGAAAGTAACACTCACACTCACTTGCTGACCTCTTTTCACCACCCCACTTCGAGGAGATACTGTGAATACACTGTCAGTCTCAAAATTGCCAGTGTTGAACTGAAACGAAGCAACCTATTCAATCCTGAAACTTAACAAACATAACCCACTAATCTGTTTGCACTCTAACAAAAAAAGGTTTTCCGTTCTCTCTTGAAAAGTTGAAAGTATTAAGGCATGTGTTGTTTTTTCTCGCAATTTCTGGAAACTCACTTAAGGCAAACTTACAGTGAATAAAAACCATTTAAGTCATGACTCAAAAAAAAGTGTAGACGAAATAGGTTTGAGCATAGGTTTTTTGCTGTTCAGACGATTTATCACAGTATTAAGAAGATGAAGAAGAATGACTGCTCTGCAAATCGGATGTTACACTTAACTTTCAAACGTTATTTAAGCTATTTTTGTCACTTTTGTTTTCTTTCATGCGAGGCTTATATTAATTAAATTTTATGCTTCAAATTTTATGATTAATTTTAATCTTCAAATATTATTACCCTTGCGATAGCAATGGTATTGCACTAGGGTACTAGACTTTTTCCCGTTAAACAACTTTGTTCACAGTACTAATTGAACTGGTGGTACCTTCGTTCATAATAAATTCCAATTAGGTAGTGTATCTTGCACACTTAGCCTGGCGGTAACGAATACGACTGGGATTGCACGAGGCCTATATTTATTAAATTTTATGCATGATGCTCTTAATCTTCAAATATTATTACCCCTGCGATAGCAATGGTATTGCAATAGGGTACTAGACTTTTCCCGTTAAACAACTTTGTTCACAGTACTAATTGAACTGGTGGTACCTTCGTTCATAATAAATTCCAATTAGGTAGTGTATCTTGCACACTTAGCCTGGCGGTAACGAATACGACTGGGATTGCAAAAATCTTGGGTTCGAATCTGACCAGGACCAGTTTTTTAAAACCGGTTAATGTTTCGGTTCAAAAATTTCGGCCAATTATTTGCCTGCTTATGTGTTGTTGGCTCAGTTGCCACGTCTAAGACTTATTAATTTTAGCTGTAAACAATTTTAACTGCAGTTGTGTTTAGCATTTTGAAAATCCGACTGAACCGTATTTGCTTTTCACATTGCTTGTAATTTTACGAGCTCGATTTGTTAAAATTTCATTCTTTAAAAAATTTTCTGAATTTCATTTCGGCATGAAAGGTTTCTTCTTAGATTTTTTCGTCTTTGTGAACGCTTGAAAATTATAATGTCAAATACAATCAACCATCCGGCACATCTGGCGTAGAAGTACAACAACTGCTTGAGACGGCAAAGATTTGCTGTTCAAATCTGGCCGGGCCCTTTTTTTTTTTCGCAAACTACGGTTTTTTTTAATTTTTCGTATTATCGTCCATCTGTTCATTTTGTTTGCTTAGATTCCGTAGCTGAGGGTTCAGCTTTATTTCAAGTTGCTCTAACCCCCATGCTTGAAACGACAAAGCCCGGGAGCTTGATTCCAGTTGAGACTTGTTTTTCTTGCAAATAGAAAGTTTTGGATAATTTAGTTTGTGTGTCTGCTTATTTTTGTCTGTATCGCAGAAAAGACTATTTTTGAAAAGCTGGCTTCTGCATAGCATTCCCGAAGCTCCTGGTAGAGTTTCGAATGGTGCAGGCAATTTTGTTTCGGATATTTTGGGCTTTGGTTGCTATCATTATTGACAAAAACGACTTTTCGAATTTTTTTCCATTTGATTTTCATAGTCATTCATATTTGTATCAAAAGTGGTGCGAAACTCAGCTTTGCCTCGGTGTTAGAATTTCATATTGATTCCAAATGTTTTAGATTTCTCAAAACTTTGTTTTTTTTTGTGGTACTTTTTCTGAATTTTTGCGATTTTTTTTACAACCTTGCAAATTACTTCGATTATTTTGTGATTTTTCCCTTACTTACAGGAACGCAATGAATGGAAGCCTATGATAGACCAGGTTTTGCAAAAAGGGAGTGCCGTTAGTCAAGTTCCAAGAGTTTCTCCAGCCTTTTTTTAAACAAAACTTCCTTTTTTTGTCGGATCACTTCCATTTTAGCTAGGAAAATCAAATAATGAATTTTTAAAACAGCCCATTTATGTTCAAGATTCTAGGTAATTCTTTTCTATTTATTTGCTAAGTTTTTGATAATTTTTGAGTTTTAGTCGACAATCTTTTCAGCATTTTTGCGTTTATGCAAACTTTTTCGATTTTGTCTTAAAGGAAAGCAATGATTGGAGACTTCTATTATAAAAGAATCAACAATCTATAATATTATATAATTGCAAACTTTCAAAAATGTATCCTATAGTTTCACTAGATCTCAAAAAACCCGCCTGAGTTGAAATATTTTATTTGCATCTATGGCTTCCTGGCCGTTTTCTTTATGAGAGGATACATTTTTAGAAGTTTGCCATATATTTTTGAACTCAGCTTGAATACGACTGGGATTGCACGAGGCCTATATTTATTAAATTTTATGCATGATGCTCTTAATCTTCAAATATTATTACCCCTGCGATAGCAATGGTATTGCAATAGGGTACTAGACTTTTCCCGTTAAACAACTTTATTCACAGTACTAATTGAACTGGTGGTACCTTCGTTCATTATAAATTCCAATTAGGTAGTGTATCTTGCACATTTAGCCTGGCGGTAACGAATACGACTGGGATTGCAAAAATCTTGGGTTCGAATCTGAACAGGACCAGTTTTTTAAAACCGGTTAAATTTTCGGTTCAAAAATTTCGGCCAATTATTTGCCTGCTTATGTGTTGTTGGCTCAGTTGCCACGTCTAAGACTTATTAATTTTAGCTGTAAACAATTTTAACTGCAGTTGTGTTTAGCATTTTGAAAATCCGACTGAACCGTATTTGCTTTTCACATTGCTTGTAATTTTACGAGCTCGATTTGTTAAAATTTCATTCTTTAAAAAATTTTCTGAATTTCATTTCGGCATGAAAGGTTTCTTCTTAGATTTTTTCGTCTTTGTGAACGCTTGAAAATTATAATGTCAAATACAATCAACCATCCGGCACATCTGGCGTAGAAGTACAACAACTGCTTGAGACGGCAAAGATTTGCTGTTCAAATCTGGCCGGGCCCTTTTTTTTTTCGCAAACTACGGTTTTTTTTAATTTTTCGTATTATCGTCCATCTGTTCATTTTGTTTGCTTAGATTCCGTAGCTCAGGGTTCAGCTTTATTTCAAGTTGCTCTAACCCCCATGCTTCAAACGACAAAGCCCGGGAGCTTGATTCCAGTTGAGACTTGTTTTTCTTGCAAATAGAAAGTTTTGGATAATTTAGTTTGTGTGTCTGCTTATTTTTGTCTGTATCGCAGAAAAGACTATTTTTGAAAAGCTGGCTTCTGCATAGCATTCCCGAAGCTCCTGGTAGAGTTTCGAATGGTGCAGGCAATTTTGTTTCGGATATTTTGGGCTTTGGAAGCTTTCATTATTGACAAAAACGACTTTTCGAATTTTTTTCCATTTGATTTTCATAGTCATTCATATTTGTATCAAAAGTGGTGCGAAACTCAGCTTTGCCTCGGTGTTAGAATTTCATATTAATTCCAAATGTTTTAGATTTCTCAAAACTTTGTTTTTTTTTGTGGTACTTTTTCTGAATTTTTGCGATTTTTTTTACAACCTTGCAAATTACTTCGATTATTTTGTGATTTTTCCCTTACTTACAGGAACGCAATGAATGGAAGCCTATGATAGACCAGGTTTTGCAAAAAGGGAGTGCCGTTAGTCAAGTTCCAAGAGTTTCTCCAGCCTTTTTTTAAACAAAACTTCCTTTTTTTGTCGGATCACTTCCATTTTAGCTAGGAAAATCAAATAATGAATTTTTAAAACAGCCCATTTATGTTCAAGATTCTAGGTAATTCTTTTCTATTTATTTGCTAAGTTTTTGATAATTTTTGAGTTTTAGTCGACAATCTTTTCAGCATTTTTGCGTTTATGCAAACTTTTTCGATTTTGTCTTAAAGGAAAGCAATGATTGGAGACTTCTATTATAAAAGAATCAACAATCTATAATATTATATAATTGCAAACTTTCAAAAATGTATCCTATAGTTTCACTAGATCTCAAAAGACCCGCCTGAGTTGAAATATTTTATTTGCATCTATGGCTTCCTGGCCGTTTTCTTTATGAGGGGATACATTTTTAGAAGTTTGCCATATATTTTTGAACTCAGCTTCGCCACAGTGTAGGAAAGAAAAATGATAACTCTGAATGTGAGTTTTTCAAGGTATCTGATATCAAACGGAGAAAAATCTACCCTCCCAGAAACGTGGTCAAAACAAAAATTGCAAAAAATGAAGGCAGAATCTTTTACGATTGATTTCCAGTTCTTTATATGCGTAGAATATCAAACGCACTTCCATACAGATAGAAGTTATTTAAATCGATTCACATTGTATTTAAACCCCAGAAAAAGCGATTGATAATGAAAATGGTTCCAGATATCTGAACCACTTCTGTTCCAACTATTGAAAGTGGTGAAGAACTGTATCTTCGGGTGCGTTTTAGCTTTTCTCTCACGCAAAATCAGGCACAACAAATAGACCATGGATTGAGTGAAATGAAATATCAGCAAAGGAAGCATGTTAAGCTAACAGTTCGAGCAAAAAGCGCTCAATTAAGCTTTAAATTTTAACTTTTTAGCTTTTCAAAGAAATCAACTAAATTTTGCAACTTTTAAAACAAGTTTTTTAATTTTGAAAAACAAAATTGATTTCGTTTCTATTGGTTAAACATGTTTTAAAAATTGTCGGAACATTAAGTAACTGATTACTATAGATCACTTTAGATCTTAAACAGAAAACTCTGAGTCAAATTAGGGTGGTCAAAAATAATTTCACACCTTTATACCTTTATAGCCATATTTATGCTCAAAGCCCGTTCATATCTTACCATCATATGCCACACCCAGTAGCGTTCCGAGGGGAAGTGTGGCTAACCCCCCCCCCCTTCAGTTCTGGTTGCCAAATTTTTCCAAAGGGTCTCCCTTTGGTATAACTTTACGACATTCATTTTTGGCTGACGAACCTCAAAACTTTCTAAAGGCGCCTTGGGCGCCAATATAACCAATTTTAAGGGGAGGGGGAGGGAGCGCGTCAAAAAAAAAACGATTTTTTTTTGTCGAAATCTTCTAAGAAGTGCCCAAAAATACCGCTTTTTGAAAAGTTTGTCTGAAAATTTGTGGCAAAATAGGGTCCTTATAGTATTTTCGGAGAGCTCGGAAAATTAAAATGGCCAACCTAAAAAATACGCTTATAATTATAGATATTTATTTGACCTACTAAGAGTTTCTGTGAGCAATGCAAGTCTAATTTTCCGCTACTCAAAATGTAAGCCTTATCTTGTTGCAATCAATACAATAAAGAAAAATCGCAGTGCAATCGCGAATGATTAGAAGTATTCCAACTTACCTGAAAATGAGCTGGAAGATAAGCTTCGTTCGTCAAATTCACTGTCAGTGTCTTCGATTGCCCAACTTTGTCAACAACTCCGAAATCGATACTGGTGCTACTAAGTTTAATGGCCGGACCTTTGCCCCGTCCGATGCACTTGACAATTGTCCTTGAGAGCTGGCCAAAAGGAGTAATCGCAAAATACTCTATATGTTGGTGCCCACTTATTATTGGTTGGTATGTGAATTTAATAGCAGTTTTGCCTTGGGCCGCAATTTGTCCCGAAGCTGATGGGCAAAAGAAAAACCTGTCAATTTCGCGTCCAGAATTCAATTGAGAAACAGTAAATGAAGCGTTGATGTTTGTCGTATTAAGAATTTCTAATGATTTCGTTGCAATTGATCCAAAATCTACATCACCAAAGTCTAGAACTTCGTCTGGTAACATGTAATCCATAAATTTATTTGACTGATTTTCACTTGATGAAGACAAATCGCTCTTCAAACTGACATAAGGGTACTTTCCAATCCCCTCCAGTTTAAGTTGCTTCCATTTGTTGTCGCCGAAAACAAGCACAGCCTGTCCGTCGTAAACACCGGCAACATCTGGACTAAACTTGATCTCAATTGGACAAACTCCGTTCTCTTTAAGTATCCCATCTGAAGGAGTGACGCTGAACCCTTGAGGAAGTTTCCATTTGAACGAAAGAATGAATGAACTGAAACATCACTCATTGGGACTAAATTCATTATTTATGGTACAAACGTTAACAAAGAAGCTTTGCATCTTTTGCATTTCATTAAAAGCAAAGTGAAAGCATCACAAAACAAAAAATGAAAAAAATGTTTTCACTCGTTAGGTCAATTGTTTTGGGAAACTTGATACCCAAAACCCACAACAATTGAATTAAAGAACGACATTGATAAACAGACACAGAAGCTAGGCTGCACTTTGCAAACACAAGCTAAAAAATGACCAAAAGAGCGCTAAAATTGCCTGATACGCACTACAAATGAGCACTAAAAATAAGTCGAAAAAGGGAAATAGCTGACTACTGTACTCGAAACCGGGTTCAAAATGTTTAAACAAATTTTACACTGAATTGCTCGCCAACGAAACTTTGCAAAAAAGTTGAGCACAAACTTGTGCGACTTATGTCGAGAAAACTCGAATTATACCAAAAAGTTTTCCTGGCGAAATGGTAATTTTACACACAGAAGTTAGGCGGAGCTTCAGTCGAAAATCAGGAATCTAAAAAATTATCAACTAACAATTCGCTTAGAAAAAAAAATAAAAAACTTAACGCACAGGCGAAGCAGAGCTTTGCGTCACTTGTGATGCAACTCAAACGTAGAAAATGAGGCAGGTCGGAAAACATCTACATTATAGATGTAGCTACAAAAATTTCGATATGGTTAATTGAGCATTCAGAAAAATTGCTCGAGCGCTACCTGTGCCGACCAAACTTGGGTAGACAATCATTGAAGCTGGGCAAATGATCCAGCGATTTTGGTTGGCAAGATGCTAGCCCGAAAAAAAATCTTTTTTTTCTCCATTTTTTCCGACTTTCGAAGAAAGTGAGGAATATTTATGCTTGGTTGTGTTTTTTTATTCAGTCAATTTTCGACTTGTTAACTAAGCTTTTTTGACTACGCGTTTTAAAGCATCTGGAGATATTGTTATCCTAAGCTCAAATTTAAAAAGATATTTTACCTGTGATTATTTTTCGTAAAGTTACGGGCGTTTGAAAATTGCTAGTTTTGTCAATTTGGGATAATTAAAGTGCGGTATATTGCGTACTTATCGCACGCGTAAGAAGCGAATTAATGCGTTCCAAATTGAATTGAGGCCAGCAATTTAATCCTATTATCACACTACGAGACGCTAAAATTAAATAAGAAATTTAAATGAGTTTTTTTACATAGCGTGTGGGGGTTAAAATGAAGAAACAATGAAAAAACCTACTTTTTTTCTCAATTATATTGTCAATTGTTCAACCAAAACTTTTAAATTGGCCCTAAGTGCAGTCGGAACATTCGGGACTTTGTCCTGACATACGAGCAGTCTTGTTTTTTTTAAATTTGCCCTGTCCTACTCAATGCAGAACCAACCGCGGGAGAGGGTGTCAACCATTTTACCAATCCCACCTTGAGGCTGTGGATGACAATGAAACCCCTCCAACCGTGACCGAAATGGTGACCAAACGCAGGACCCTCGTTTTGAGACCCGATTGCCTTGCCCAAATCGGCCACGGCTGCTCGAAAAAAATATTTGTTACCATTTGATAACGCTTGCTAATAACATGCGCAAACAGGACCGGAATGAAAATCCAAACTTCTGTCCGCTCAGTTTTTGTACGGTTTCTTCTACTATACTAGAATTACCGCATAAAATATTTCAAGAAATTTAGAAACAATGAGATTGAAATTAGTTAATAATGAGAATAAAATTGAAAAAATTACCTCAAGTTTTTGATGGTAAATTTTAATGACACGGAATCCTTGACAGCGCAGTAGCTAAAGTTCAGTTGATCTGGAATCTGTATATCGGCATCCGGAAGAATAGCTTTTATGGGGATGGAGAACTTCTTGTTCTAAAATATTCGAGAAAAATTGTTCAAAGTAATTGAAATCAAAGTGTTACAAAGTCCTTTAATCTAGAAAAACCTTTTGGTTTCAGAGTAAAGCAACCATTGAAAAAATATTTGCTATAATTATAAAATATCTGCCTCTATGATCATGTTGAAAATTTTTCTATTACCTTAGCGAAAATTTCAGCAAATTTTTATAGGTGTCAGATCGAGATCCAAAAAATAAACCTAAATAAATTTAATATGTCTCAATTTCGCTATGATGATCAACAATGGCGTTTTTGAGTCTAACCTTTGTTTTAAATTCAATTTTGTCCTCATACTGCTTGCTCTCTAAGGGTTTGAACACAATAGGCATGGAGTAAGTCGTCCCAGGATTCAAGGTTACGGCTTTGGGATAAACCAAGGTTCCAAAGACTTGGCTATGGGGCACACTGAAATTTACAAGATAAAAAAATTTATATATTCCTCTAGATATTTGAAAGACATAATTGCTTAGACTAACAGAAAGTCGATTTTCTTTTTATCGTATGCTACATTCTTTAGTACGACTTTCTTTGTGTACTCTCCCCCTGGTCTCCATGAAGCCCAGGTAAGCCCTTGGGTGACTTCCAAGCCATCTACAGTCGGATTGCGCGAAGTGACGTGCACGGCAGCCATCTCTCGTACTACATTATTGAACTAAAAAAGTGATTTTATGGTATTTATCTTCAATCCAGCGACTGATCCCCGGTCGAATCATTTAATTTTAAACTAGTTTCAAGGCAGATTTAATGGGTTTGCACAGTTTACGGGCAGAACGCTAGCAATATCCTGTCTAGGAAAATTCGGTTTGAAGAGATTCCGACTGTTATCGCACAAGAGACGAGCGTTTTGGAAAGGGAATTGATTGTTAACTATTGAATCTCGGCGTTGTTGCTCTGGCCATCAAAAATGGGGAGGAACTTTGTATTCGAGTGTTCTGTTTTTTTGTTTTTCAAGCAAAATCAGGTACCATAAATAATCATCGGAATGGGTCGAATGATCTATCAAATTAAAGCTCTTTCAGCTTCAATTTGAACGATATTGAAAAAGTTTTCAAAAACTTGTCCCAATGTGAGGAAAACTGGTTTAAAAGGCAATTTCGAGAAGTAAGGCAAGTGAGCAGGCTTACTATGGAAGGATAAATTTTGTGATGTTCTTGAAAACTTAGTTTTACTCCAAAAAGTAGTATTTTTTGCAAAAAGAACGCAAAAAAACACAATAAGTTGAAAAAAAACTTTTTCGTAGATTTTTTAAGATTATGGTCGGAACATTATGTGCTACTTGCACAGAAACCAGCTATCCTTGTTTATAACGCCATTTGATGTTCGTACAAGCTTGAATTTTCACTTATAATGACTGCCTTTGAGGGCTCAAAACCACTCAGACATTTGTATAGAATCATGATGAAGTCGAATATGCCTAAGTTCGAAAATGGGCGCCGGACATCAAGCCGGCGGGACTTAATTTTGAACAATTTCTCAATTTTAAGAGCTATGTTTTAAAGAATTTCTCAATTTTATGAACTTTCTGTACAAATTTTTGATTTTTTCATTTATTTTGAGCATCTAATTCATGTTTGGGTCTTTCCCATTATAGCCCTCTAGCCTACTAGCGAAAAGGGCTCAAAACCACTCAGATATTTGTAAAAATTTTTGATGAAGTCGAATATACCTCAGTTCAAATATGGGTGCAGGACATCAAACCGACGATACTTCAAGCCCAATCGTGAAATTAGGGACTTCAGGCCAAGTATTTTGTCAAAAAGTCATGAAATATAATTTATTTGAAAACTGTTTCGAAGGATTTCTCAATTTTATGAGCTTTCTGTAGAAGTTATTGGGTTTTCATTTGTTTTGAGCCTCTAATTCATGTCTGGATCTTTCATATTATAGCCCCTACAGCCTAGTAGCAAAGAAATTATAGCCCCTCCAGTTTGTCTTTTTTATTCACTTTAAAATAACTGTTCTGCTTTCATTCGTGAATGCATTCATTCAAGTGTGTATCCATATTTTATTAGTACTGAACTTAGCGCTGCAAAGAATTATTAGTCATGCAAAAATAAACAATATTGTTCGTAAGAAGGCACAGCCCTGAGTATTCCGACTAACCTTTAAGGTCTAGGGGGAGCAGTGTTTGTTTTTAAAACATTGATAACGTTCAAAAAATTAACAGATCAATTATGATAAATAAGCTTCCTTCAACCAACTTGGAAGGACATCTAAGACGGATTAAATCTCCGCTCCCGTGCTAATAGCGCGACTTATATCGCGCGTTAATTGTCACAAATTGGCCAAAATTGCAAATTTTAAACCCTATAAATTAGCATGTCTAAGTTATTTAATGAAGGTGCTATAATTTACTGGAGGCTACAATGGGAAAGACCAACAGCGGATTAAGGGGGCGGGGGAGGGGGTTGGAGAAAGCGCTGGGCGGACGCCCCTCTCAGGAATTCGACTCGTAAGACCATTTCAATTGTTTTTGAACTAATGCGATTGATTTTTTGTTCTAAGATAACCACCATATCCATGATTTTGACCCCCAAAAACAATACCGCAACTGCATGTCGCAAAAAACTGCACACAATCTATCAGGCTTTAAAAGAAAAGTGTTCGACGACAGAAGACCGGATCATATGTGCTCTGTTACGTGTTCAAATGAGATATAAAAAAGGACGGTTTTTGTGTTTGTTTTTTAAATTTTTTGTGACATGGTGAATTTTCAAAAAAATTTAGAGAAACGAATTTTTATCTTCATTATAAAATTAAAATGGCAGAGAGCTTCTTTCTATCATCTTGCTTTTTTTTTCTTGATGTTATGACTTTTTCAAAACTGAATTTGTGTCATCTTTTCCTTTCCACCTTGTTTTCACAAGCATCTGCTGAGCCAATGATGTTCTGACAAATTTAGAATGAAACGATCTTAAACAATCGATGTATCATACATTTTCTTCTCTTCTAATTTTTCTGATTTAAAGATAAAGAAATTTCAGGTCGAATATGAACGGAGTTGTCTGTATATTTGTCTCTCTAGTTGCCTTGGTGTTTGCCTCAGATGTTATTGAACTGTCTGATTCAACTTTTGAGTCTGTGATTGAAGAGAAAGAAATCATTCTAGTCGAATTTTTTGCGCCTTGGTAAGTTATTTGATTACGTCTCATGGCATAATTCCCAAATGGCATAAAAATGAAAAATTTCCCAAATGGCATAAATTTCATGCAACAGTTGCATTGAAAAAGTCGAGAGCAACTTTTTTTGTGAAAAATGTGAGGAAATTAGTCAAATTGTCAATTCAAATTTTGATTGACATTTTATCTGGAAAAATTGTAGAATTTTTTTTATCAAAAGCGAAAAGCATAAGATTGCGGTTATTGATAAGCTTCTTGTGTTCAAACGCATAAAATTTGTTTGGAAGCAATTAATTCCAAATATTGCTCACATGATTTCGTTTTTGGCAAAATATTAGAATCAGAAACTGAGAGAAAACGTTTGACTTACAATGAAAACTTCGAATTTATGCCATTTGGGAAAAGTTTTTTTATGCCATTTGGGAATTATGCCATTTGAGAAGTTACCAGTTATTTCAAAGCTAAACGACTACAATTGTGCTTCATGCATTTGTCCCGAGGTTAAGTATCTGGGGAATCACCGAAAAGAATAGTAATCTCATTATATCGGGTTTGACTTTCAAAAACTCAGTGTTGAATCGTTTTTGCTCTAGTTCATCTGAATCTAATAGCTGTTGGACACTTGATGGACATCCAAATTGTTGAATATTAAGCACTTCACTAATCTGAAGTTCTGAGGAAAATTTATCAGTACATTTTACTGATTTGATGCAATGAATTTTTTACAGTAATCGATCTGTTCTATCTCGTTAAATTTTTAGGTTTTGTTTTATTTGCTTTAATTTATTACTTTTTACCAGGTGTGGTCATTGTAAAAAACTTGCCCCAGAGTATGAAAAGGCAGCTACAGCTTTGCTGAAAAATGATCCTCCAATTCCTCTGGCAAAGGTAAATCAAGCTTTTGTTTCTTTTACGGACGTATTTCGCAATCTGAAATGTTAGTTCAACGGTGCTTGATTAGGTTGACTGTACTGAAGCCGGTAAAGAGTCATGCTCAAAGTTTGGTGTCTCAGGATATCCAACCTTGAAAGTTTTTAGAGGAATTGAAAATATCGAAGACTACAGTGGTCCACGGGAAGCAAGTAAGTGCCATTTGAAAGCTCATAAGATTTGCGTTTCTATACTAGTGGACAAATTAAGCGCAAATTCTAGATTTTACTCTGTTAAATGCCTTTTCTCAATGTACATTTTGGACAACATTTCCTTTGAAATTCTGTAAAATTTCTACATTGACCCGAGAGCAAATGATCAGGGCTAACATCAATGAAAGTATCAATATTTGGTTTCAACGACGTTCAGCGGGGCACTGCAGCATGTGTCCGCGAGACTCTGGTGGTGGAAGTCGATGACCCGATTGGCGCTGACTTCCGGCGATAAACAAGTTCAAACTGTTTTAATCTCCATTTAAAATGTTGCTTTTCATATGACTCTGGTGCTTATTTTTACCATTTCAAACTTTTTTTATATGTGTCTGAATTCACATTCTTTTCTCTTCAATTAAATAAATTAAGTGTTCGGCTTTTGATAGATTATAATGTGTTAATACTACATGCCATTTTTAGTACTTTTAATTTCCTGTTGATAATCAAATTAAGATTGATCAAAACTTTCATATGTAATCCGGGTCTGAAAATGCCAGTTTTCCTCATCTGCACTAAGTATTGCATCGTAATGAAATCTTTCTTGAATGAGCGGAGAAAAAAAAAATTCATGCAACGTGAAACATTCTCAGCGAGAAAAAGGAAACAATCAATGTGAAGTTCTTACTAAATTCAGACGTTTGTTACTTATTCACGCGGAGTAAAAAAACCTAGTGCAGATGAGGAAAACTGGCATTTTCAGACCCGGATTACATATGAAAGTCGTTGAAACCAAATATTGATACTTTCATTGATGGCAGCTTTGATCATTTGCTCCTGGTCTATGTATAAAATTAGCTGAACTTCAAAGGAAATGTCCAGAATGGACATTGAAAACAGGCATTTCAGAGAGAAAAATCTTTAATTTGCGCTTAATTTTGTCCAATAGTGTATCACTAATTGTATACATTATATTTTAAATGTTTATTCAAGTGTTTCGCTTGATTTTTGCATCACCAGGATTTAAAATTTGACTTTGATTTTAGGTGGTATCATTAGTTACATGAAATCGAAAGCAGGGCCAGCAGCTAAGGAATTGAAGACTGTAGAGGATCTTACAAAAATACAGGCTTCAGATGAAGTTTATATCATCGGCTTTTTCAAGGAAGGTTCATCACTCAGCTCAGCTTTTGCATCTGCTTCAAACAAATTGCGAGATAACTTTAAGCTGGCGCTTACAACAAGTGAAGAGGTAATCAAAGCAGCATCCGCGACTGCGGAGACAGTGACACTCTACAGACCAAAGAGGTTGATCACGAAATTGGAAGAAAGCTCTGTAACTCTTACTGATGCTTCCGCCAATTCCGCCCAAATTTCGAGTTTTGTCAAGGATAACTTTTCTGGATTAACTGGACACCTTACACCAGATAATGGTCCGTTTTTCAAGAAACCACAATGTGTCGCTTACTACCAGGTTGACTATCTTCGAAATCCTAAGGGGACAAACTACTACCGCAACAGGTTTGTGAGATTCACCGTAATTTGTTTTAACTGAAACGTATCGGCTGTTAAGCACAGTTGGTTAATTGATAGGGTAATGAAGGTTGCAAAGAAATTCGAAGGCAAATTAACGTTCGCAGTGGCCTCGAAAGAAGATTTCAGCGGTGAACTTGGTGAAATGGGAATCGAGAGCAGCAGCGAAGACGTGAATGTAGTCATCTGGAGCGAGAAGGGACAGAAGTTCAGAATGGACCCTAGTATTACATTCAGTATGGAAGCGTTAGAGAAGTTTGCGCAAGATTATCTTGATGGAAAGATCGAGCCTTACCTCAAATCTGAGGAACCACCGGCAGACAACTCAGGGCCAGTCAAGGTTAGCTGTATTTAAGAGTTTTTATCGGCAAAATCGTTTAAAAACGCATTTTTATCAATTAGTACCGTGATTTAAAAACACTATATAACAGCTTTAATCTAAGTTGTATTATTAAATTTTTAAGCCATTTGGGAAAACTATCTACGAGCCTAGAGATTTTGGTAAAGTAATGTGCAAGTAAAAGAAAAGTTCCGATTCCGATGTTGAATTCTTAGTTGAATTTTGTTAAATCATCAAAAGTCAAGTGCCGGAGTTAGTTTTGTCGATACTTTGCCGTAAATAAGAATGATGATATTGTATTTTGTTTTTCTCTTCATTTTTTGAAGAAAACAGTTGTCGAATATGTCTAAGTTACTATCACCATCGAATTTGCCTTAGTTCTGCAAATGCGAGGACGCGATACACCAAACCTCCAGGTCGGAAGTTCGACTCAGGCAAATGGCAAAAGTTTTTCGAGCCGTATTTTCATTTTGGATTCGGACAATTGAAAATGGGGAGGAACTTTGTATTCGGGTGTGGTAGTTTTTTTTCTCTCAAAATCACTATTACTATCACCATCGGCTAAGTTACTATCACCATCGAATTTGCTTTAGTTCTGCAGATGCGAGAACGCGATACACTAAATCTCCAGGTCGGAGGTTTGACTCAGGCAAATGGCAAAATTTTTCAAGCCGTATTTTCATTTTGGATTCCGACAATTGAAAATGGGGACGAACTTTCTATTCAGGAGTGTTAGTTTTTTTTTCACTCAAAATTAGGTACATAAAATAATCTTCGGAATGGATCGATTGGGTTATCATATAATAAAGCCCTTTAAATCATGATTCGAACTACTAAAATTTTGAAAAGTTATCCCTGTATTGAGAAAAAACAGGTTCAAGTCGGATATGCTTAAGTTCTAGTTAAGAGTAATGAACGTAGTGAACTTAAATAGGTCTTGGTGATTTTTTTAAGGAAAAGTCTTAAACTGCTCTAGTAACTACAGATGTGCATTCATACATATTAATGGTTTTATGAATGCACTTAGGTATATGTGCACTTTTTGAGTTCAATTGAAATTCAAATGCTGAAAGGTACGCAAATAGCACTCTCCGAATACAAACGTTGAAATGGCGCAAAAAAAACGTGAACGATTTTTAGTTCGAAAGTGGAATTTAATTTTGAGATTTCCTGCGGAATAAAAACTTTACCTATTGATCCAGTTGTCTCAAGTTGGGTTAATTTTATCAGAAAAGTACCAATCTTAATTGTTCTAGAAATTCAAAGTGTGTCTAATTTTTTCTTTGAAATTCGATAGTTGAGATTTTTTCATCACGCCACGCATACAAAAGGTACTTTTTGTTTTAAGACTATGGTCGGAACATTCAGTGCTACTTACATAGTAACCGGCTATCCTTGTTTCACTTTTTACCTTCTCGGAGCTATCTTTTACCGTTTAATCGCCATTTTTTGCGAAGCGCAGTTCCTCTCGTTACCAAGGAATCTTACATTTGAAGCCATTTGTTTTTGGAGTAAATAGAAATTTCAACTTTAATTCATGTTTTATCACGCTGCTTGTTTTCTCTTCAAAATGTAGGGCTATATTATTATTATTATTATTATTATAGATTTAGCAACAGAGTTGCAAGGGGTTTTCCCCTAAGTAAGTCGATTGGAAATGAGTCTACAGTTGTTCCGGGTACAGTCACAGTAGAGTTTCCAGGTACATGAGTTGTCAGGATTGAAATATTGGTCAAAGTAGCGCCACGTCCATTTGAGACAGCGACTCTTAAACCCGTCACTGTTGAAGACGTCAATGATAGGCGGTGCTAGAGAAATTAAGCGTGCAGTTCTGAACCAGAAGTTGTGTTCACATTGTCTTCTCCTTGGCCGAGTCACCTGGAACGAAGCGGACCGACAGCTTCTGGTAGACAATGGTGATATTACATCAGAAAAATCATAATCATAACGACCAGTTAAAATTTTGTTGTAAAGCAGTAAGTCATTAAGCTGAATAAAGAAAGGCAAAGGTAAGATATTAAGAAATTTCAAAGCGTCTTTGTAATTCATGCCTGGTGTTATCCATCGGCATACCTTTCTTTGAAAGCCTTCAATTCGCTTCATTCCTGTAACGTTAAGACCGAATGCACTCGAGCTATAAAGCAGCTTGGGAAGAATCATACTCTTGTAGATGTTCAGCTTACTGAATACCGGCAAGAAAGGTGAGCTACGTTTCACCATTTGGAAAACTCGCATGGCACTATTAATTATAGTAGTAATGTGGAGTGTCCAGTCGAGGTTACTTGTTATGACTAACCCCAAATCTTTATGTACAAGAGCAGGAGGAATAACATTATCATCAAAATAAATACCAGTATAGGAGCCACTGAACAATAAATGAGAGCATTTCTGTAAATTAAAAGGGATTTTGTTCTGGATACTCCAGTCGAAGACAGAGTTCAGATCACTTTGGAATGCTTCAGGGGAGCGGTCGAAACTTATAAACTTTGCGTCATCTGCACAAAGCAAGGAATATGAAAAGGAACACGAGCTCGGAAGGTCGTTAATGAAAACGAGAAAAAGGAGTGCTGATAAAAGTGCTCCTTGTGGTACTCCACTGGATATCAAAATCCCCTTTGAAAGCGAATTCCTAACCTTGACAACTTGAGTGCGGTTAGAAAGATATGACTGTAGCAAAGACAATAACTTTCCTCTAATACCTGTTGAATACAGTTTGCGTAGTAGGATTCCATGGTCTACACGATCGAAGGCCTTTTCAAAATCAGTGTAAATAACGTTTACAGGTTGACCGTTGTTGACAAATTTGTAAACGGTGTCCAGATAAATTATCAATTGTATGGTAGGTGACCTATTTTTCCGAAAACCAAACTGTGCGTCATGAAACCAGCCACTGTAGTGATTATACAAATCAATAAAGATACAACGCTCAAATATTTTTGAACAAATCGGTAACAGTGATACCGGCCGATAATTTTTGACATCTGCCTTGCTACCTTTTTTATATATTGGGATTACATGCGCTAATTTCCACGCTGTAGGATACAAGGAGGTCTGTAGTATTTTCCTGAACAGCTGACAGAGAGATTTTGAGATAGATGAAGATGTGTGCTTATATATGGAGGCCGGCAATGAGTCAGGTCCGCTTGCTTTGTTAACATGTAAGCCATTACAAATCTGCATTACGTTGCTGTCTTCAAAAATAATGTTGTCGACGATTGGCAGTTCGGATTCGAATGACAATGAGCTTGGGTCAAATTCTGTAGAAACCTTATATACAGATGAAAAATAATTGGCGAATAAGTCAGCTTGTTCTGAGTCACCTTGAGCTATTAATGAATTGAAATGAATCTTAGACGGTAAGGCAGATTTGTTGAACGACCTGTAATACTTGAACAAGGAATTTGTGTTACGGTTGTCTGCCAATGAAATCTGGTATTCCAGCTTGTCTCTTGATCCCCATGATGATGGTGATGATGATGATGATGATGATGATGATGACTGGTTTTGCCACTCTTTCTTGAACTCAGTGGTAGAAATATTAGTTAGATGCAGATCATTGCATTGAAATGTTTATTAACGAAGAGTGCTTGTTAGCTGCAGAAAGAATGTTCCAATCACTTTTTCACTGCAGAAACTGATCGAAACTCTTGAAATTGGTTACTAGAGTTATCACATTTGAATCTTACAATTTTCGTGTGAGTAGGTTACGCGGTTCAACTTGCCATGTAATAATTTCATTGACTGATTATGTCTTTGTAGCAGACTGCTCGTAGGGCTTCAAGTGTGGTATCATATTCAAGATCTTTCCATCGGAATTTCAAAAAATAGTTGAAAAATTGGGTCTGATTTCAGATCAAATTTGATTTGAGCCTGAACTCCAATTTGGCTCTAATGCATTTTTTTCGACTTTTGAAGTATTGATTTTGTCAGCTGTTTATCTGATTAGCTCACCCTCCTAACAAAAAAGCAGTGTGTTTAGAAGCAATGAGAAATTTGATAATGAAGTTTTCGTTATTTTTAAAAAACTTCTTCATATAAAGATTGTGAACTTTCTATGCACAGATTGCAGTTCGTTATCCGACTATCCTTGTTTTTAATTAACAGTGAATCATATATAAATCGATTGCATTCCTCCACCTAAACTGAGCTTTTTATTTAAATCCCCAATCAGGATAGTAGCTGTGACATATTAAATCTTCCTAAAACCAACCCATGCGATGTTCCTTTAGTGCACCTGTTTTTACGGCACTGTGCAAAAAGGAAAAACAGCTGCGACTGCCTCCGAATAAACCACTCTGAATCATTAATTAGAAAGACAAGAACAAAAGATTGAATGAAACTAATATAAGCAGCGTTTGTTGTCTTTCTCGCTTTAGCCTAGCTCTTCGACTGGAAAAAGCGAGACGTAAAATAGTGTTGTATAGTTATGACAGTTGCGCAATAAAAATTATTCAAAGCAGCTGAAAAAGCTCTTTGCTGGTTCTAAAGCGTGCTTGAAAATGCATTTTTCGCTGACAATGACAGCGGGAAACAGTTGGTTTTGTAAATTAGAATTTGCTAACCAACATTTGTGCAATCTTGTTTCTAAACCGCATTTTATATCCATTCTTATTTCGTTGTGGTGAGAATCTACATTAGCTACATACATGATGTCACTCAACAATTATACATGAAAACTGAACTAGCTAAGACTTCTAATGAGATCATGCTCTGAAGGAGCGAAGCAATTAATTGATCTATTGAAAAAGTAGCAAGATATGTAGTGTTGTAAGTGGAAGGGTCAATATAAAAAACCAATCAAAAGATTTTATGACTCAAGTGAATCAATACAAAGAACTGTAAGTATTGATTAAGTTTTTGCTCAGACCAAAAATATCTAGATAATTATGACTATTTATGGAGATTTTTTGGTCAGAGCATCTAATTAGTCATTTACTTGATTTCTATATTGAGTTTACTTGAAGTGGAAATTAATTTTTTAACTTGCAAGCTAAATTGTTTAAGAGTCAATGAACGTAGTTCAGACTCTTATATAGGTCGCGATGATGTTTTGTTGGTTTTTTCAGGAAAAGTCGTTAAATTTGTTCAGGCTCAAATTTATTTTTTCGCGGTTTGAGTTTTGATTTTTTCAAATTTCAGTTCATTTTTTGAACGTAAGGCAAATTGACTGATTGATTCTGCTCATAGGAAGGCACAAACATTCATTTTTAAAAACATTCATTTTACCGGAACTATGAATCAAAGTTTGCTAGATTTTGTTGTAATAATTGGTTATTTATAGTTGAAAAAGAAAGCGAAGGAATGACGTTTGTGTCTATTAACTATACTTAACCTTCAACTTGACGTGCAATGAGCTCGAACACTATTAAATTGATTACAGGTTGTTACCGCAAAGACGTTTGATGAGATCGTGAATGATGCCGAACGAGATGTGCTGATTGAGTTCTATGCTCCCTGGTGTGGACACTGCAAGAGTCTGGCGCCCAAGTACGACGAACTGGGAGAGAAATTGACTGGAGAGGACTCAGTGGTGATTGCCAAAATGGACGCCACTGCCAATGATGTCCCGCCTCCATACAATGTCCGGGGGTCAGTTGAAGTTTCAATGAACTGTGGTTCCCATTTTTATTTATTATTGAGCGAAAGATAAATATTCCAAATCATCTACTTTGTAGTACCATGGTAGTAGCACCACTGCATTAAAATGTATTTATATTGAGTGGTGTTTAAGGTTCCCAACCATCTACTGGGCTCCCAAGGGCAAGAAGGACAGTCCGAAGAAGTACGAGGGAGCCAGAGAGGTGAAAGACTTCCTCTCTTTCATTAAGAAAGAGTCTTCGAATAAATTGAAAGACGAGTTGTAAACACAGCAAACAAGGACTACGCGGCAGTTGAGCTTTAACAGCTCTAGTTAAAGCCAAGAACTGATCAAAAGTAGACTTGATTTATCATTAATTCAACTATGGATGGTGACTGATCTTAAATACTCTAATGCTGATTACTGGACAACGATTTACTGTGCGAAAAGTCATTCACTGTATTTAATATGAACACATGTAAATTGTCTAATCTAACTAATAGTGTACTATAAGAGGGCTTCATCCATGATATTTGTTATTGTTTTTGTCGTTGCCGTTGTCTCATTCGACCTCCTTTTCCGTTCATTCAGTTGGTGGCTATTTAAAAGTAAATTATAATATTCGTGTACGAGAGAGTGCGTGAGTTTTGTTGGATTTGTATTCAAATGAAACTTGAACAATTTTATTATCAACGTCGATGGAAAAGGTCGACTTTCAGAGAAGCCTTCCTGTCATAGTTTAATTAGGGCATGGTGCAAAATGAATGTAACCCAACGTCCGATATACCATTCAACTACAGAAAAATGCTTGATTGAATACCATTCAACTACAGAAAAATGAAGCATGAAGTGAACATTCATTTAATTAGGTCGTTTTGTGGCAAAAAGTCACGATTTATTAAAAGAAATAAACGTGTAGTGAGTACTCTTAAATAGGTTTTGGTGATTTGTCCTGTGTTTTTGATAAGTCTTGCAATTCCTGTTTGATAAAAACAGGTATTATGAAAATGTATGGGGTCGGGTTCTAAATGAATTTTTTTGAGACGCCTGGGAAATATATTCACTTTTTTGTACAAAAATTTAGTTTTTTCTTAAATTACTCTACCAATTTTCAAAAAAAAACTGGTACCAATTGGAAATCCGTCCTTTCCCCTGTGTGCCTGCATAATCTCCTTGTCTCTTTTTACCTTACCACACTTTCTACAGCCTTCGAAAAAGTGTGGGGAAAATTTTTGGCTTGATTAAATTTTCTTAAAAACTAACCCACAAATCTATGATTTTGGGTTCAACGCATAGAATAGTTTGTGTGAAGGTCCCATGCATAAACGGCTAAGCACAAATTTTTTACGCGAAAATTTACGGTTCTCAGAATATATAATTTTCCGATGTTTTAACCGTTTTTCCTAAACTTTTCTCGAAAACTACACACCAAAATCTTAGATTGTGCGTTCAATGGAAAGGACGTGTTGTAGGTAGCTGCCTCGTAGAAGCGATTGCGCCCATTTTTATAGAGTAACGAACGTATTGAGGACTCTTATATAGTTCTTGCTGATCAGTTTTTCAGGAAAAAGTTTTTGAAATTTCAAGTTCAATTTTGATTTTTCGCGGCTTGACTTGTGATTTCTTTTCAAGTTCAGTGCATTTCCATTGTCAACAATCGAACAGCAAAAATGTAAACGTCTTGAAAAATGTGATCTACTTCTAATTTAGAAAATGGAAATTAATTATCAGATATCCCAGTTAAGTACAAGTTATGCCTATTGCTCCAGTTTTCTCAAATTGGGTTATTTTAGCAAAAAAGTGTCCAACATAAATTGTTCTACAAATTCAAAGAGCTTCAAGGCCATTCAAAAGCTGAAGATTTTTGAAAAAAAAAAACAAGTCAGCTTTTGTTTCAGTTTCATTGCGTTCATTTCTTTTTTCCAAGTGTTAGTTAGCTGTTTTTTTTTTACAAAAAGTTATGACCCTCGGAAAAGCAAAATTTTCGATTTTTGAACGTTTTCCGGAAATCTTTGACCTTTTTTGAAAACTACCCTCCTAAATCTGAGGTTTTGGTTTCATTGAGTAGAAGGGGTTTTTCACCCAAGTCTTAGAATGTGCGTTCAATGGAAAATACGCGTTGCGGGAAGCTTTCTGGTTTTAGCGGCATTGTCAATTTTTGTACGAGAAAAATAAGAAAAAAGTCATGCTTGTGACTTTTCGACCGTTTTGTCACACTCTTTGATTTTTCTCGGAAACTAGTTTTAATGACTAGCTTTATTTTTGGCTTAAGGAGGGTCGACGAAAGTTTTCCGCCTTAAATGTCGCTCCGATTTTGATTCTCAAAGCTTGCTGAATAATTTTTAAAATGACATTCTCTTCTTTAGTACTCTTATATAGGTCTTGGTGTTTTTTCAGGAAAAAAATCTAAATTTTGTTCACGCTCAGTTTTAATTTTTTGCGGCATGACTTTTGATTTCTTTTCAAGTTCATTTCATTTCTTTTATCAAAAGAAAGGAAGGCAAACTCCTTTATCGAACAGCAAAAGTATAAAGGTCACGAAACACGTCGAAAGTAGAAATTTTTAGTCAGATTTCCCAGCGGAATTAAAGAATAACCTATTGATCTAGTGTTCTCAAATTGGGTTAACTATCAAAAACGCACCTATCATAAGCTTTTTAAAAAGCAAAGAGCTTTCTGGGAGTATTTTTTCTTTCGTAGCTCTTTTCTAACGGTCTGTTGGCTATGCCTTAAGTTTTGCCCTCTATTAAGCCTTGTGTTCGCTGCAAGTTATATTTTCGCTGCAAGTTATATTCGCTGCAAATTTTCGCTGCAAGTTATAAAGAACAAAGATGTTCAGATTGGTGAATTTGCTCAACATACTACATATAATTGATTTAAACCGCATTTCTGAGGAGCAATTGGTGGTTGACTGAGATCTCTACCGCTTAGTCGAACTGAAGGTGATCCGAGGCGCAATTTGATCTGTTCTCGACTGTGATTGAGGCACTTTTTCTCCACAAAAAAAAATAATTAAGAAATGTGTATATTGGCATAATGGCTGAACTCATAGTATGCTATTTCTCTCACTTTTTCTTTAATGGTCCGTCTTCATATTTTAATTTGATCATAAATTTAATATAACATCTGTGTCGGGATAAGGAGTTCCCGTAAACAACTAGGTTCATAGTACTCATCTCTAGTGGTACCTGTTTTCATAGCTAATTTAGTTTTCTTAGCGTTCTTGACCCACTTAGCCTGGAGGTACGAATGCGCCTGGGACGGTAAAAATGCAAGGTTCGAGTGAGCTGATTTTGTCCTGCTTATCTTTTGTCTGCATAGTTGATCTTGGAATCGTTTTTTTTTGCTGAGCGCACTTTTCTCTAGGTTGCGTTTGGTAAGTAATTTACTCCTGGCATTTGTACTTTTACTTACTTTGACTTCGTATTTCTATTTTTTTAGTTTTGCCTGGAAAAACTTTGACATGAATTATTTTGGCCTATTTTTTTATCAGATTGGTTATATAATTTGGGTCTTTATTTAAGGGAAACTCAATTTTTATGTTCCTTGCTTTTTGTTCAGTTAGCTGGATTTTAAGCACTCGGTTTGTTGAAATTGCATTTTTCACTTATTTTTCGGCTTAACTCGTTTTCATTTGTTTACACAAGCAATGCATGTGTTTTAGTATGAACTACTTTTTTTTCCAGCCTAAGTCGCAAATGTTGTTGCAATAAAATGTGTTCATTTTGAAAAGGATCATTTTGATCAATAACTCACTTTTAAGTGCAGCCAATGCTAAGGATTTTAACACAGACTATTTATGGTCTGACTTTTGTAACGAAAGTAACGGAATATTTGGGGTGGTTTTTTTCAGACAAAGTTCGACTTTTTAACTAGCCATTTTGGTGGGATTTTTTAATATCCTGCGAAAAGTATTGTTGTCTTGAGCTTCAATTTGGAAAAATATTTCACCTGTGATCATTTTTTGTAAAGTTATGGGGTTTAATAATTACCAATTGCGATAAGTTATGGGGTATTTATAATTGCGATATATTTCGCGCTATTAACGCGTAAGCGGAGATTTGATCCGTCGTAGAAATCGTTCCAAATTGGTTGAAGGAAGCTGTTTTGCCGCAATTGATTTGTTACTAGAAGCGAATGGCGTGAGGGGTTGATTTTCACAAAAAAAAACTCAAATTAAAAAAATTCTTTTTAATTTTATTACATTTTTTTTCAGGTTATTAGTGCTCCATAGACTGCTGTATAAATTGAGGCATGTTAATTTGTAAATTCTTTTTTTTTCAATTTGACTGGTACTGCTAATGCGTCATAATTGGCGTGCGTCACTAAGGAAATTTTGTAGACTCAAAGTTTTACCCATTCAGTTTTTCCCAGTAGCATTGTCGGTCCCATTTTTGCTTGTGTATGCGACGATAATCTTCGCGTTTGTGTTTATATCGGCTTAGTCTCTTTTTGCGTCTTGTGTGTGCCTTTTAAGTGCCTCTGTGTGTTTCAGGGCAAGGGGACTGTAGAAATTTTCAGATATGTTTGAATAGATAAAAAGGTTTCGGATTGATGTGTTTCTGTATTTTCAAGTATTTTTGTATTTGTCACCGCTTGGTTAACTTTGTTCCGATACTGATTTTGCGTTCTTGTTTTTGTGCATGTTTTTCTTCACTGTTTTCTTTTTTTATTGATAAACCTAGTTTTATCGCAAGTGGTGGGAAGCTCAGCTTCGCCTCTGTGTATAATATCACTTCAGCAATTGAGTTTGCCGGAAAGAGTTTTTGTATTAGTTGATTGAAATACCGGTGGTTTTAAATGCCATCGAACGCAGTGAAGACACTCTTATAATTTTAAATTTTTCTATTGTTTTAAGCGAAACATTGCCTTCTCTAAAAAAGAAAGCTGAAATGCGGCAACAAATGAACGATTTTGGGCTTGGAAGTGGTTTTTGCTCTTATATAGGTCCTGGTGATTGTATTTGTTTGTTTTTATTTTAAGGAAAAAGTCTGTTTGAGTTTTTGTGGATTAATTTTTGATGTCTTTTTAAATTTTGTTCATTTGTGTTGTTGAAAAGAAGGTAAATTCCACTATCGAACAAAAAAAGGTGTAAGGCCAAGAAAAGTATGCTCAACTTCTATTTTCGACTTCTCGACGCACTTGTTTTCTTGTGTGTTTGATTTTTTCAAATTGTCTGTTGGTTTATTTTTTGCGTTTACTTGCTGGATGTATTGAATGTTTCATTAACTTTTCTAAATTGCTTGCTTTTCAATAAATTCAAGAAACTGAGGTTTTCAGTGCAATTGAAACGATTGGTTGTGGGAAGCGCCCCTGCAGGATCAACTAAGCCCATTTTTCTTAAATCAAAGTTTCAGGCAGGGCCATTGAAAAAAAAACATTTTTCGATTCTTTTTTACCCTCTCTCAAAAACTACCCGCTCGAATCTGAGATTTTTTTTTCAAATCCCCTGCATGTTTGGCTACGATCAAATATTTATACAAAAAATTATGGCCCTCGAAAAAGTCAAATGTTTTAAATTTTTTGACTGTTTTTCGAATTTTTCTCAAAAACTACCCTCGCAAATCTGAGTTTTGGATCAATTGAAACAATACGTGAGGAGTGCCCTGCATAATCACTTAAGCCCAATTTTCTACACAAAAATTAGGACCCTAGGAAAAGACAATGATTATTTTTGTAGAGTTTTTTA